TCTTCAGGGGCCCTGCTAATTCGAAAAAGGATCTGGGGGTGTTTTGGGGTACATTGTACTGTATGATCGAATCAGGAACTCTGAGTCATTTCTGGGCATTCGTTCTCCACTTTGACCCTACCCCTGAACTATATAAACGCCAAGCGCAAGCTGTAAGCCATCAAATCTTACACCCAACACCTCAAACCCCAAGCCTTAATCCCTGGAGCCTGAGCCTCAAGCACCACTGCGCAGTATGGACCTAACTCCATCACAGCCTCTGGAGCCTGTGCTGCCTAAGGCTTCGACAGCTTCAGGTTCAGGGCTTAGGGTTGTGCTTCTAAGCGTGTAGTCTCTAATCTGCCCTTGGAGATTTTATGACCGGGAAACAGACAACAATCTGGACCAAGGGGTTGCTCGGCAAATGGCCACTGTGAGCCATTAGATGCTTTGAGGGCCGATGTCTGCATCCATTGCCGTAGCATGCTCGCGAACTCCGCCAAGATGGGCACTGATCTGGATTTCGTCTTGCCATTGACTGCGGGGATGTTTGGAGGATCATGGGGCTTGGTAAGTAAGGTTGTAAATAAGGTAACTATACTTATAGTTAGTTTTAATCCCAATTAAGGTACTTATTTGATGAAGCTCGGGTTGCCGTTGTTCTCCAGTATGTTCTGCAACCACGACACGAGCACACAGCAGGCAGCGCCTGCTCTCTCGCCCAGGCAGAGTTGCATTAACATGAGGACTGCTGCCCAGAGACACTTCTTGGAGGATCATGGGACTTAGTAGGTCAGCTTATAAGTACCTTAAGTGGGGTTATAAGTTCTTATAAGTATAGTTACCTTATTTATAGCCCCAGTTACTAAGTCCCATGATCGTTTAAGTGCACTTGGTTCAGGAGGCATTCCCACAGGCCGGCATTGCTCTTGGTCTAGGCAATTCCCGCTGGCCTCTCGGGTTGGCGACTTTCTTCTTGAGGCACTGCCTTTTTGTGATTCTCGCAGCAAAGGTGCCCTTTCGGAACACCATCAAACGATTCTGCCTCATAATACAGTGCTGGGAGATGTCGTTCACGGGTTTAGGACTAGGGCTGGGAAGTAATAGCATGATTGAGGAATCCTGGTTACAGGGATTCTCTCTCAGCCCTCTACCCTCAACTTGGGGGCCTGAACTTTATCCCTTGACCCCTAAAACTTAGGCCCTACCTTAACCCCAAGTAACCTACCTTTTTGAGGACTCATATAAAGAAATCATTTTAGGGAACCCTATAAAGGCAGGTTCCTGGGGGTCCAGGTAAACTTATATACAGAGAGGGAACCCCTGAACCCTGAACTTGGACACCCTGGGCCTTCGAGTGTGTGCCCAGAAGCCATATCCTGCGAAGCACGGAGGGCCAGACTGGGGGTTGAGGATTTAGGGGTTCAGGGTTTAGGGGTTTAGGGTGATTCGGGAGTTGGGATTTGCTTTTCTAGGATGCCCAGTAACCTAGGAATCAAAAGGGAGCCTTTTTGGTATTGGGTAACTTAATAAGGAACCTAAGACTTCAAAAAAGGGAATAAGGGTACTTCTGGGCATCCTAGTTTTCGTTTGTTAACGTCCAGTGCGCTTTATCTTCGCGCAACGGTCCACTCCTTGAGGAGCGTGCACATCGGAAGACTTCATTGGAAAAGAGTACTCTGGCAAGCACGGGCTTAGGGTTTTGGCCTTAGGATTTTGAATATCTACCGGCTGGAAATTGCTAGATTTGGTAATAATGAAAGGGTACACTGCGATAAACTCTAGAGTCTAGAGTAAAGTCTAGAGCGGTCCCTGTGACCCCTTTGGCCGTTTCTTTCGGGGCCGGTGTGGAGTAGGACAGTAGGACTGAGTGGATCGAGTGCGATAGCTCTGATTCTTTGCCAAGACCAAAACCATCTCCTAGGAGGTGCTTTTAAAGCCTTTGAAAATACCAGTAAATAAGATCCTCTTAAGCCCAATAAGGGAAAATATAAAATGCCCGAAAGCCCTACCTAGTCTCCCTGTACCCTCACCAACGTTTTGGGCTGAGTCTCCCTGCCCCAAAAGCAGGTTAACCTTTTCAACTATGGTAGGATTCTATAAAATCTAAAGTGTTCAAGCTTACCCCTAAACGCTTACTTTTAGTACCCTCATAGATGGCTTAAAGGAACCCCTTAGAGTACCCTAAACCCCTAAGAAGGATTACCTACCGAGCTACTAAGCCCTAAGGGTCCTGTGGCAACGAGCCCATCCCACTAGGGGCTGGCGCTGAGGAGGACGAGGACCCTCCTGAGTCATCATCTTAAAACGAGCCAGGCATGAGCCATGAGGGTTTAGGGTTTAGGGGTTTAAGGATTAGGGTTCAGGGATTAGGGTTTTAGCGATTAGGGATTAGAGTTTAGAGGTTTAGGGTTGAGGGAGTTTGGGGTTTAGGGCTTGGGGGTTTAGGGCATGAAGGTATTGAAGTTCAGCGGGTGTTAGGATTTCGGGTTGAAGGGGTTTTGGGATCTTAGGGTTGGGTCCGGATTGAAACCACCTGAACATCCCGCGAATACCTACGTTGCGAGGATTCTGCGCAGACTAGCAAACTCAAACATCTCTGAATTGCAGAAACTCCAAATTCCGCCAGAACATGCCAGAGACTCCAATATCCCGCAATTAGGGAATATTCCTTAAATCATATTAGGGATCCTGCTTTGATTTAAGGACATTCCTTAATTAAGGGATGTTGGAGTCTCTGGGTTGCTTCACCCCGTATGGTTCAGGGTGCGTGGGACTGTAGAACTAAGCTGGACTCACAACTAAGATTCATGGCTGAAGGATCTCTTGAAATCCTTCAGGGCCATCAAGGAACCCGTTTTTTCCAACATAACCTAAACCCTGAACCCCTAAACCCTCAACCTAACCCCTAATCCCTGCCCACATGAGACTTTCCGAAGAAGTGGGACAATTGTATAATACCATAGACGGGAGGATCCTTATTCGAAGGACCCAAAAATAAGGCAACCCCCATCATCGGAAACTCTAAACCCTAAACCCTCTATAGAACCCTCATAGATCCCTTAAGGAACCCTTATATGGATCCCTTTAAAGGTACCCTTATGGACCCCAAAACCACATGAAGTTTGGGCTTCAGAGCTCCCAAGGGCAACTCGAACTGGCCACGCCTCTGGGCTTTGGGGAAACAAGTGACTTTCTTTCATCAAGGGTTCCCTTTAAGTATAGACTTTTATTTCATAAAGGGCTCCCTTTAAGTATAGACTTTATTTCATAAAGGGTTCCCTTTAACAAACAGGTCCCAAAAAAGTACTAAAGTATGGTACTCCAAAGCCCAGAAAGGCAATTCGAACTGGCCCCGCCTTCTCCTGGCCACTCCAAGTCGATTCCTTGGTGGATTCTGGGAGCCCTGGGGGTGAATTCGAATACGTTAAGCTACCAAAACCTACTTTTTTGTAGGGCCCCTATAAATTCCATATCAGGGTTTATAATAAGAACCTACAAAAAGGTAGGGTTTGGAAGTTTAAGGTAGGGTTTTGTGTTCTGTCTCTAGAGAGCAAGCTGGAACATCCGCAATCGCAACTGAGGGTACGGTGAGATGAATAGTCACATGCAAAGCCAGGCCTAAGCCCTCGAATCCTTGTCCTTAGGCCGTCCTCCAAACACCGGCCAAACCTCAACCCTTTTCCCGCATACGTTTATTTTGCTCAAGCTGTTATCTTGCTTGAACAACTTCCACAGAAAAAAAGATATGGGCCTTAATAGTTAGAATAGGCTGTTGGGCCCATTATAATACTGTGCTTATAATGAGGAACCCTCAAAATAGCATAGGTAATCATTAAAAACCTTAAACCCTAAACCCCTAATTAAACCCTAAACCCCTAAACCCCTAAACCCTAAGCCCTCATACTAACCGCCCCGGCCGAGGCCATGGCTTGCTTCCTGAAGTCGCTGCCGGAGTGTCTCCCGGCAACTTTGAGCGCGCACCTGGCGGCGGTTTAGGGTTTAGGGTAAGTTTAGGATTTAGGGTTTCGGGTTTACAGTTTATAAGGTTTAGGGTTTAGTGCCTAGAGTTCTCTAGGATTTAGGGTTTAGGGTTTACCCATAGTCTCCATTGTAGTTCCTTTTTGGGGTTACCTTATAGGATCCTAATTATCTATTTGGTTAAACCAAAAAGGAACTACAATGGAGACTATAGGTAGGGTTTAGATCCTAGAGTTCTCCTTTTTAAAGGCGTCTATAAGGGCTACTGCAAGATTCTTTAATACGGGGGCCTTTAAAAATGAGAGTAGCGCTTTGGGCTTTGGCCGAAGAGGTATTTTCGGTCCTATACAGACCACTCTATTTATTATCTGGATCATACTATCACCATTTCTGACTCTTACAAAAAAGCTGCCACTACAGCGAAGATGCACACTACCATAGCACCTCTGAGTCAATATTGCTGAAAGCATTGGGTCAACAGCAGACTACTCGCAGAAATCAATTGGCGTCCTTCCCTACAGCTTCCAAAATGCCTTCATTGAGGAATATACCTTAAACCATATTGGGATCCTAGTAATCATATTTTAAGGTATAATCCCTAACTAAAGGGTTTTGGAAGCTCTGGGTCACAAGCCCCAGCCTGACCTCCTTCCTGTGTAGCAATTGGCAATGTAGCACTCCCATCAAGGACCAGTCCGTGTGGTGGCCACGGTTTAGGGTTTAGCGGTTTAGGGTTTCAGGTTTAGGTTTTAGGGGTTTAGGGTTTAAGGTTTAGGGTTTAGGGAGGTGCCCAGACGCAACCCATCAAAGTGATCACAAGGCAGAGGCATCACAAGAACCATTCGTACACCCCACCCTGGTAAAGGAATTCCAGGACTCCACACTGGGCATATGACAAGCAAAGTGTGTGGGCTTTAGATTTAGGGTTCAGGGTTTTAGTGAGCCGTTTTGGGTTCAGGGTCTAAGCTTTGAGGTCTAGGCCCTAAGCACCCCAAACCCAAAACCCTGGAACTCGAAACTGCGCTTTTCCTCACTGATGGTCACAGCTTCGCTGCCGGCCGCTTCTTTAGTCCTTCAAAAAGGGTACCGTTTGAGGTTATCAGGGATCATAAAGGGGTTGACGGGTCATGATGGGGTTTAGCGGTCATCATTGGGTTCGGGCCGTTTAGGGTATAAGCTATAGTTCGACCCTTAAGTACCTGAACAGAAAACCAATTGCCAATATGAGGCCTACGTAAATCCCATATAACTGCAGTGCTAAAAGTATGAAGACTCTCACTGAGCTGGAGTCTCCAGTCAATCCAATCAAAGCCAACAATAAGTGCAATATTGGCAAGGACATCAACAATATTGAGGACATGATTCAAAGTACGGCTGAAACTTACAATGAGAGAAAAAGTACTAGACCTAGACATGCTACTTGCAATTATTGTACTTCAACAAATTGCAATTATTGTACTTCAACACCAGTCGTCAAATCGAGGAGGCAAATTGACACAGGAAGACCAAGCTAAAATAACACTTTGCAATGTTCATGGACCTGTGACGCTGGGTTATGGTAGGGCCAAGTATGGCGTTGAACACGCAGTCGTAAGCAACAGCAGCAGCAGCAGCAGCAGCAGCAGCAGCAGCAGCAGCAACAAGCCTCATCATACGAGCAGTTTGGCTCGGACAGCAAGACGCATGCAAACAGAAACATTGTTCAGGCGAGTAATTTAACGATGTAGAGGCTAGGGTGACTAGGGGTGATTGGAACAAGGGTGTGGGGGCTTTTTGGACAGCATTTTCATGAACCAGAAACTCCAAGGAAAATCCACTGCAAAAGTTTTCAGACACTATTTTGTCGCACTGACATCTACATCCCGGCCTTTGCCGCAAACTGCTCGAGGCGCATCGGGCAGGACACTTCGGAAGGTCAGAGAAAGTCTCTCTTTCGGGCAGTGATCCTGGCCGCAGGCTGAATGTTAGTTTAGGGCTTTGGGTTTAGGGTTTGGTGGAATTTAGGGTTTGGAGTTCAAGGTCTGCTACCCTACAGCCGCATCACCTCTGCATGCTCAGGCCGCAGGTTTATCTTTCCGGGTACCTTCTTCCAGACCAATGAAAACACTAGATTCCTCTGACAGTAGAACCACTAGAAACCGCAAACGTGCGAACGTGCCATTCAAACTCTATTTAAACGAGACAACGGCAGCAATGGAGGTAGTGGTAGCAATGGTGGTATTGGAATCGGGAACGGTGGCGGTTATGGTCGCTGTTTCACTTGTAATTGCCTTCGTCGTGGACGAGCAGGAATGGCAGCAGCAAGATCATTCCCTAAGTACCTTGGCACATGCATATACTGTTACTACATGGGTACAAGACGTACTCCAAATGCTGACCCTACTTGCATTGATTTTCCGTCTCATTATGGTCATTCTGAGTCCTGAGCAGTTTAAGCGTTGTATGTAATGTGTTACTACTGACGGCCCTGGTGAGAGCTTTGATGGTAAATGTACATCTAAACACTGTAATGAGGCTAATGAGGCCCCTGCACCGAAACCCAAGCTTCGGTAGCGCGAATGCTTCAGTAACCAGTTCATCGAGATCTATCGCATGAAGACAGTTTCACTGGACTTTGAAGTAACCATAAGCAAAAGGACCCCAAAAGCATTGAAGTATGGTACTCCAAAGCCCAGCTAATGTCAACCCTCAAATCAAGACATCATCCACAGTCCTGCACACAACTCCAAGATCTACTAACCCTACACTCCCTGAAAGCTTATAGACCCATATAAGCCTTCAAGCGTGCCTTCTTGATGCCGTGCTGCCATCGGGAGCGTGATGGTCCAGTCATGAAATACCTTCGTCGTTGAGATTCAAGAACTTGTGAGCATGATTTCTGGCCTGATTTCTTGTGCTGTTTGGGAACATGCAAGATAGCCACGGAAAAGAGAGTCTTCGGGCAGCCCAGGTACAACGACCGTCTGGGGATGGCCACCTCAGAGCGACAGGGTAACTTGGTGGGCTCTTTCAGTGGTTTTCGGGCCTTGCGCGTCGTGGTCTGGGGAGGGTGAAGAGCTGCGTTTTGGAAAAACGATCAAAGAACTATAGCCAGAAACCCTCATTAAACGATTGTGTGCTGCGCAATGTTTGTGAGTTTGGTTTAGGATAAATGCAGTTATAGCTATGCTTGAGATACAAATTTAAAATAGTCAGCTAGCGTCTCAGTCTCAGCAACCCAGGACGGAAAATCAAAGGTACCACACGCACAGACAGCACTGGCTTCAGTCCGGCTTGGCGAGAACTGCAGCGGTCCAGCCCTAGCCAGCCGTGAACAACACCATGTTGTTCAAAATAAAGCTCAATCTTATGTTCCCAGACCAATCATCCTGAGTACTGGCTTGAAACTCTATAAATTACTTAGCCTGAGACTCCAAACAGACCCACAACCTGATTAGAGCTCCTTGCCGTCTTGCCGCCGTGGCGGTGTCGTGCACCTTCGCTAGGCCATAGGCGCTGCCACCGGTGTCGTAAAACGTCATGGTGGCATCCTGGGGAGGGGATTCCCAATTGGTCCTGTCCTGAGCCCATATATATATATATATATATATATACATATCTAAATATGCATATATATATATACACGTACGTATGCATATACATGTACATATATAGATAAAGAAGTATAGATAAATAGGTAGGTACATAGTAGAATGTAGGGTTTCAAGAGTGGGCACGAGTATTTTACTTTTTATGTGTTGGGAAAGTATCCTCTTGTAGCAGTATTGGGGATCCTCTGGGATGTAACTATCCAGAACTCCTGGAGTTTTGCGTTGGGCGTAGGATCCTAAGATTCCGGCGGCGTCAGGGTTTCGGTTGTACAAAAGTTTAGGGTTTATATGGTGAGGCGTTTAAGAAGACGTTCCTCTAGACTCTAAAAATCCTCGGACTCGGGCTCCAAGGGATCAAAGGCTCGGGCCTCGGACGTAATTTAGGGCTGTAGTAATATGGCGTGTTTTGGGTATAATACTGTTGATGATATAAATCCTGCATTACCTTAAGGACCCTAAACTATGGGAATTATGGTATATTCCTGATCATGGGTGATGCAGGATTTATATCAACAACCGTATTTATACCATGATATACCAACTTTACAATACAGAACCCTGAGGAACAATGTCAATATTTAATGAATGCCTCTATAGTCGGCGTGTTCCGGTTATGCTATGCTACGCCGAAAAAAGAACATGCCTCTGAGCTCGACTCACAGCAAGTATCAATCACCCGACCCGCGGGACTATGTCGTTTGCGCTACAATCCTGCAACAGGCAAAAGCCTGTTCTGTTTTGGGTAACTATTTGTTGTGACCTATGTCCAAAACCCAGCACACTACAATCCGTCACCCGGGATCCTACGTCTCAACTCCTGGAGCCTCAAGCCTTTAACCAGAATCCTCGCTAGGCTGTATGCTGTCCACTAGAACCCAAGCCAAAATGGCCTGACCGCACAGACCTAATGAAATCTGAACCACAAACTCAATGGGAATTGGAACACCGTGCCATATTTCGGCCCCCTAAACTCGAAGCCAAGCCTAGCTAGAATCCTTGTTCCGCAATTCGTTAACCCTATCCGACTCCGCCATTCGGACAAGCCGAGGTACGGAGAGCAGTGAGCAGCAGGCTATGACAGGCCCGAAGCACTTCTTGGAGTCCATGTGTTTATGCATGTAGCCACCTTGGGAATGGTTGTTCCAAGTTTAAGGTCTCAAGATGTCAATTTCGAAGTTTGGGCTCCCAGATTGCTGAAATTCTCGACAATTCATGGCTATTGGCTTGGCGGGTTTCCTCGGCGAAGGGCTTCCACGCTCCACGAATCCGTCAGGATACAAGAAATACGGTTTGGCCGGGTTTGTTGATTACTCTTGACCGTGCCATGCTGGGCCTGAGAAGTTCTGTTAACGGCTTTTCATGCAGAATACAACAGTTCCTCCGGCACAACGAACAGGTTTGAATTCAACCCGGACATTGGAACCGTCTTCTGAGTTACTGAGAATTTCAATCCATCACCCAAACCAAATGTCAACTTTCTTGGGCTTAAACTTGGCTGGAGAACCAACCGTTGAGCGAACACTGGAGCGACTTGAACAACTATGGCTCCAAGAAACAATAACGTTTTTATGAAACAGGCTCAGGAGAGGCATCGACAGAAACAAACATCTCGATCCAATCTGCAGGAATGAAACTCCAGATGAAGGCAAAGGAAGCTTACACAAGGAAAAACGTAATCTAACCATCAACTGGACATATCTCCGCACCTAATATGGATCCCTCCCTCGTACCCTGCACACTACCACCCCGGCTCTGCACCTTGACACCAAACCTTCCCTTGCCTTGCACCCTAACTCCGAACCTTGTAAACGGAACTCCCTACTGTACATGTTCCATCAAGATTGGGAGGTCCGTTAGTAAAGGCTCGCACGAACGCTTCTAGTAAGGCTTCCGAAACCCTGGGCCAGAACCGGGCACCCGGCCACTTTTGTAAAGGTTCACCCGGCAAAATCCGGTTTGACCAAGGCCGCTGGCCTTGGGCTGGGGTTGTTACTTTAGCTGTACGGGAACCACATCACATAAAGCCCCACAGATGCATCCGTTTGTATGGATTTGGTTCTCCTCTGCTGTCATTAAGCTCGACTCTAATGTTTCCGGGTTTGGTTAGGTTCTGCTCAACTTCAAAAGTGTTGAAGCATGCTTTATGGGTTTGGGTTCGGAATTTAAGGTACCGGTCCATCCAACATGCCCAAGTACTCCTTTGCGCACTGGAACTCTGCGGCTTTGCTGCGGATTTGCAACTCATAATGATAATCTGACTGCAAATGATCGGGATTGGCAATTGAGCCGTGCATCTACCTGGAAGATTGAGTCTAGTAGTGTTCATTAGGGTCCATATGGGGTTGGATAATTAGTCTGCGAACTGCCATGACCAGGGCCGTGAAGGCTTCACGCTGGGCATGGTTCGCATCATGTGGGTATCACTGCAAAGCGACAGCGTAAGAAAACAGATTTCTGTTTACCCTCCCAGCACGCGCCTTCAAGCAGGAGCTGCGACAACTGTTGTGCTGCATGAATCAACAACTCACGCAGTGAGCACCCAACTAGTGACGCTCTCTACCAGGTGACAGCGGAACCTGTGGCCGAACTGCTGATGGTGTCAAATGCGAATCGGGAAACGTAGTGCCTTCGATTCCGCGCCTCGCCTCTTATGAAATCCTTAGGTTGAATCCGACTTTGCAGACTAGTTTGCAAAGCCTCTACGTACCAGCCCAACGGCTCGAGAATCCTTCACAAAAAAGTTTTTACAATTGAGATCCTCAACAATACCTTAGACAGGGGATCGTTGATGACAGGAAGCGGAGTCTCTTGGAATGCAGAACCGTCCTACAACCCGGTAACACCCTTGTAACACCCAGTAGAACCCTTCTCTGAAACCCCTCAAACCCGACACCGAAACTCTTTTCCGGTGAAGATGGGCTCTCACAGGGATCAAGGGCTTGCATGTCAATTGGTAGTTGAAGGACTCATGGTGCAGGAACTCCAACCACTGTCGAGGATGAACCCATCCTGTGGACAAAGTGACATGCTGCAGGGGGCACTATAACATAAGGGGCCTCAATCGTTAGGAGAGGGTCGGGGCTACATTATTCTGTGCTTCCATTAGGAACCCCAAGGAACAGTATGAGCAAGTATACAGGCTTCTTTATGACATCAGGGTCTCCCCGAGGTTCCAGGCTTCTAGCAAGCCCGATTGGACCAAAAAACACTTGTCGTAGGTCATCGCAGGGAACCTGAACGTGGAGCAGCGCCCAAACCCTCCACTAGCTATACCCTAAACCCTAAACCCGGCTATGAGGGGTCAAATCGGCTCTACTTTGAAGATGTTCGCTGCTCTACAGCCGCCTTATCAGGACAGGACCCCTGAAGCTACGGATACGAGTCTACCACGATGTTAAAGGGGGGTTTAATCAGGGGAGCAGGGGTTAACATACTGTAGGAGCCTGAATAAATAGAATAGGGTTTAGGGGGGGTACGGTTTAGGGTTTAGGGTTTTGGGGGGGTTCCCTATTATGCTGAAAGTATAATATACCCCCCAAACCCTATTCCATTATTAAGGCCCCTATAATAGGCCACGTAGGGGCCTCAATGTAATTCCACAGGACGTCGGAGAAGATCGTCATATTTAGTCAGGCTCCGACTTCTATCTTACAAGTAAGCCCGAAACCCCAAGCCCATAAAAGGGCGCTGAGGGATTACATATATATATATATACATAAGATAACACCATGCTGTACTATGTTATAGTATCGCATCCTAGAGTCGCAGAGTAGAGTAGAGTATAGTAACTGCGGATTTTGGGAAGCCAGGGGTTGATCCCCAACGATCGAAGCCGACCCTGCCTCTCCGCGCCCTGAAAATCTAGGTGGGGCTTTTAAAGAATTTGAAAAATATTAGTAAATAAGATCCTCTTAAGCCCAATAAGGGAAATATAAAATGTCCCAAAGCTCTACCTAGAAATGGCTTACTGGCTCTTACACTGAGGGGGTTTAGGGTTCAGGCTTCGGAAGGACCCGATAGTAGGATAGTGGCAATGGAGGATACCTGGTTGTGACTGTTAATTACTAAAGCACTTGGACACCTGGGCTATGCCATCTAGAAAGACTTACACAAGCCATTCAACATACGTGAAGACGAAGCATAGGCTGAAGCTCAACTGCCTGCGGGTAAAGACCCTAAACCGTAAATCCTGAACTCTAAGAATGGGCTCAGGGTGCCGGGCACCCTGATCCCTACGCCCTACGTCATGGAAACGGGATGCCCTAACCCAAACCTTGAACCCGAAAGCCTGTACGAGCATACCCAATTGTGAACCCTGAATCAGTAAGTCAGGTTATAAGTTAAGTGGGCTTTCGCGCGGTGATAAGTATAGTTACCGTATTTATAACCCCAGTTACTAAGTCCCATGATCAGAACCCTCATCCACCCCTGTCCCTAGGCATCTAAGGACTCAGATTTTACGGCTTTTGGGGCCAAAGACCATACTATGTAAGGCCCAGGGTTTGTATATGATAGAAGCACCTGGAAAACCCGATCCTCTGTAAGCCCTAACCCCTAAACTAAAACACGAGCCAGCCTTAATGCCCAATGCCCCAAGCTCTGAACCACAAGTTCCATTTTTCACAAACACGAAAACCTTAAGCCCTGACCGCTTAAATTAAAACCCAAAGGCCTGCGACCTAAACTCCTATCAGCCCAATGCCGATTACCCTACGCCCTAACCGTTCCCTGAAGCCTCCGCCCTAACCCCTAGCTTAGGTAAGCCCGAAACCCTACGCCCTACCTCCCTCCAACTTAACTTTTCAACCGTAACCCATGACCCATGAAACAACCCAAAGAGCTAGGCACTTACAGCCCTAGGCCCAAAGCTCTGTAAACAAAAACCAAGCAAAACTCCCCCGACCCAAGCTCAAAACGCTCGCCCAAACCCAACATAAAGACACCCAGCGCCTTAAGCCAAAGCCCTTTCTAACCACAACCCTAAAACCCTAAACCCTAAACCCTAAGCCCCTCAACCCTGAGGCAAAAAGCCCCAAAAACCCCTAAAACCCCAAACCCTTGAAGCCTCAGAAGCCTAAACCTTAAAGCGAAACACCGCCATACCTACACCTTGGGTACGGCCCCCACTCAGTAATAGGTGAATAATATTCATAACATAGATATATTAGGACCTTAATAGTAGCCCTATTATAGACTCCTACTGTATGGGGGCAGTACCTAGCCTACACCGTAACTTCCAAAAAGTTAACTCAAGAAGAGTCTCTGAAACGCTAAACCCTGAACTAGAAAAAATGCTCATTAGGCACCTAAACCCACGAACCCCTAAATCCTAAACCCCAAACCCCTAAAGGAACCCTTAAAGGAACCCTGTGATCCTTAGAGATCCCTTAAAAAGGAAGCCCAGAGCCGCAAGATGCTAAGGATCCGAGCGACCAGTCCTAGGCGCTGGGCCTCCCGAGCAACCTCCAACAGTAAAGGGTTTAGGGTTTAGGGTTTAGGGTTCCTTAAAGGGCTCCTTAAAGGGATCTATAGGGTTCCTTAAAGGGATCTATAGGGTTTAGGGTTTAGGGTTTTGGGGTTTAGGGGTTAGGGTTTAGGGTTTAGGGTTTAGGGTTTAGGGTTAAGGGTTTAGGGTTTAGGGTTTAGGGTTTAGGGTTTGTTTTTTTCAGTTGGGCTGACTTCCTTCTTTGGGTTTGGGGTTTGGGGTTCAGGGTTTACAAGGTTGTAGGGTTTAGGGTTTGGAGTTTCCAAAGCCCTAAGGGTCCATGTACCCAAATAGTATATACTTATGCCCCAAAGTACCCTTTTAAGGGACTAATTTTTAAGGCCAAAGTATCTACTATTTGGGTACATGGACGCCTACGGAAAGTTAGGGGTACCTTTAATAGAAGGGATCCAGAAGGGTTCCTTTAAAGGGATCTAGTTGGGTTCCATAGGGCTTGAGGGTTTAGGGTTCGGGGCTTCGGGTTCCTTTAAAGGGATCCACAAGGGCTCGTTAAAGGGGTTCCATAGGGCTTGAGGGATTCTATAAGGGTCCAAAGGATCCAAGACTATTTGGGTCCCAAAGGCTCCATGTACCGTTATAGTAGATACTTAAGCCTCAAAAGGGTCCCTATATAGGTGCTTTAAGGCCTACGTATCTACTATATGGGTACATGGAGCCTCTGGGGGTTAGGATAGTAGCTATGTACCTTAACCTACCACCAAACCCTACTTTTTGTAGGTGCTTATTATAAACCTTAATATGGAATGTATAGGGACCCTACAAAAAAGTAGATTTTGGTAGGTTAAGGTAGCTTTACATTTGGGAGAGTATATGATTATTACGTACTTGGACCCTTAGCTAGGCTTCGGGGCGTCCAACTTGCCTTTGGCTTAGGCTTTAGGGTTTGGGGACTGTCTTTTTTCAGTTGGGGTGACGTCCTTCTTTGAGTTTGGGGTTTGGGGTTCGGGATTTAGGGTTGATAGGGTTTTAGGGTTCAGGGTTTGGGGCTTATAATATACGGTTTTAGGGTTTAGGCTTTATAGAGTTGTAGGGTTTAGGGTTTATAGGGTTTGGGGTTTATAGGGTCTTATGGTTTTGGGTTTCATAGGGTTTAGGGTTTATCGGGCTTTAGGGTTTAGGCCTTAGGAGTTGGGATGTATGACAAAGTGTTTAGGACTCAAGGTGAGGACGTCGGGTGTTGGAGGATCCTGTATGGTTTCACAGGAAAGCACATAGAGTCTACCTCCATGCAGGAGTGACCCTAAGGGTCCATGAAATCATATGTATATACATTGGCCTCAAAGTAGTCCCTGTATTGGTTACTGTAGGACCAAAGTATATGCTATATGGGTACATGGACCCTTAGGGTAAGACAACATCTTTTTGAGGAGGGTTTTCGGAAAGGTCACACCCACCCTGCCGCACGGGAAAGCAACCACGGGGGTGTGGGCACGCATTGGCAAGAGAACCCCAAATCCAAAAACAAACCAAACTATAAATACATATATATATATATATATATATACGTACCTCATACACCCAGTGGGTGCTTTATGAGTGGTTTAAGGTCTAGGGTTAAGGAGTAGGGTCGACAAGGGCTTAGGGATTGTGGCTTCGGGTTACATGAGGGATTCATACAGGCCGTACGAATTAGAACAAATTAGAGCTCTGGGCCCTTGCATAGGGGATGTGTACTGATCACTGTCAAACCGGGTGCGTTTGAAACACGGCCTTCTTGCCAGTGTCCCCCATACTGTCACCCAGCGCATACACTCACTAATGTTGTTACGGAGAGCTGTATATTTTCCCCGAACCCTCCAACATCAACCTCTCATATCATACACAAACCCTAAACCCTAATACCATAAACCCCTAAATACACCAGACCCTCAAACAAACTCTGCGTACCGAACAAACTCTTCGTGCGACGAGGGACCTTCTGTGCCAGTGCTGCGGTTTTAGCCGGCGGGCTCCTCCATCTGCGGAGCTTCTCTGGGCTGAGGCTTAGGGTTGTAGGGTAGGGGGCTTAGGGGTTTAGGGCTTCAGGGGTTTTGGGTTTAGGGGTTTGAGGGTTTAGGGTTTAGAGGTTCAAGGGGTTTAGGGGTTTAGGGGTTTAGGAGTGAGGGGTTTAGTGCTTTAAGGGCTTAGGGGATTAGGGGATTAGGGTTTAGGAGTTTAGGGGTTTCAGGATTTAGGGGTTTCGGGGTTTAGGAGTGAGGGGTTTAGTGCTTTAAGGGCTTAGGGGATTAGGGTTTAGGAGTTTAGGGGTTTCAGGATTTAGGGGTTTCGGGGTTTAGGGCTTTAGGGTTGAGGGGTTGAGGGGTTTAGGGATGGGTTCGGGCCTTCGAGTAACGCCAAAAACCTGTAAGCGCGCCATGCCTAAACTCGATACGCCCTATAAACCCTGAGCCGTGTGAACACCATGAGAATGAACTATATGAGGCTGCAAACCCCATAAGCCCCGAACCCACAACCCCAAAGGGTCCTATGTATTGTTATGGGGGATACTTCCCTATATCGGTACATAGGACCCTTTGGGACCCTGAAAGCCATGACTCAGCTCTCAGTCCACGCACACACATGTCCCCGGAATGGACCCCGTAAATAGACATTCTATGAATCTCAGGACTCAGGGAAGCCTTAAAGCCCGTCAAATAAGTGAACCCTGTAGGGCCCTAACCCTGAACCCTAAACCGTGCGATTAAGCCTAAAGCCTAAACCCTCAACCTGAAACCCTAAACCCCTAAACCCCTAAACCCCCAACCTTTAAACTCTAAACCCCTAAACCCATACGCCCTAAACCCCTGAACTTTAAACCCTAAACCCATAAACCCTAAACCCCCCAAAAAATAAACCCTAAACCTCTAAACCCTTATAAACCCCTTAGAGCCCTCAGCCCTGAAAGCCCCGGAAGCCCGAACAGACGGGAAACACAACCCAGAGGCTCCTCATATACTACTGTTGATGATATATTTCCTGCATTACCCATAATAAGGAATATACCATTTTTGGTCCTTAAGGTAATGCAGGATCTACATCATCAACCGTACCATTATAGTATTAGGTCCCAAAAAAGCCATCCTTACTATGGTCTTAGGTCCCCAAAACCCATCCTTATTATGGTTTTAGGTCCCAAAAAGGTCATCCTTACTCTGGTGTTTGGGACCTAGTTCCATGATGGTAGTACTTATATGGGAGTTTCCGAAAATAGTAGGAGACCCTAATACAGTGCCCCAAATAGTAGGACCCTTATCATAAGGACCCCAAAATAAGGTATAAGGAGCCTCTATACTGAACTTAGAAAGAACCCTAGCAACAATCATATTTTTAGCTATCTCTTAGGGATTCTAAAATATCCAAAAATGAAAATTACTTCTAAGTACCCCTAATATCCAAAAAATAAAAACTACTTCTAAGTACCCCTAAGAAACCCTACCCCTAAACCCTAAACCTCAACCCTAAATAGACTAAAACAAATTACTTCTAAGTACCCCTAAGTCTAGGGAAGGCTCCTCGGCTCGGCTTCGACCAGCTCCATGGCGTCGGAGATCTGCGGTCCGTACTCCTGGGTTTGGGGTTTTGGGGTTCGGGTTTTCGGGTTCCTTTAAAGGGATCCTTAATTAAGGGCTCCTTAAAGAGATCTATAAGTTATAGGGTTTTATAGGAGTTTAGGGTTTAGGGTTTCGGGTTTAAGGTTTGGGGTTCAGGGGTTTAGGGTTTGGGGCTGGCGACTTAGGGTCTACAGCCTCGGGTAGCTCCTTTCGCCATTTCTTGCTCGCGGAAGGGGGGTGTAAGCGATTCAACAAATGTGTCTGCTGAGGGGTCTGCAGGGGCTCTAGTCCAGAAGGGTTTTGCTGGGGGTTATCCGGGGTTGAGGATTGAGTGGGTTTGGGGACTGGAAGGACTGTATGGTTCGGGGGCTTTGGGCCGAAAATAATCTGATAGCCTTAACAAACAAAACAGAGCTTTGGGATCAATTAATGTGTAATTGTATACGGACTTTTGCTGAGATTCCAGGCCCCGATAAGGGTTTAGGGTTCCCTAAACTCTAAACCCTATTCAATGCGAAACCCTAAACCTTCGATCTGGGTTTATGGTTCAGGGACCCTGGCCCTAGCTTCTGGGCCCGGGGGTCCTGCTGCCGAGTGTTGCTGAACTTGAGGTGGGCCTCGCAACAGAGCACGTGCTCTTCAGGTTGGGTGCTGCACCAAACACAGTTCCAGTCGCTAATTATGAGGGTGTTTTGGGTGTAGGGTTCAAGGGTTAGGGTTTTTTTTAATTTTTGATAACAGGATCTAACTGTTACTGAGGGGGGGCAGTCTCCAAGCTTTAGGGCCGTATCGACTCCCGTGTTCCATTGGGGTTCCTTGTTCAAGACTTGATGCTTGAAGTGCAAGGGCATTGAGTTGGGATGAAAGGCATAGGAGCTAAACCACTCGAAGCCCGAAACTTGGGGGGTATCGAAAGGCCTGCAAGATGTCCTACGCGGCTTAAGGGATGCATTCGGGTCGCGAAGCACGCCGGGACATGGGTCCTTCCTGACATTCCACTCTGCAGTGAGGTTAGACATTGCGAAGTACTAGTAATCAGGCTGACACTGAGTCGAGTGCTTAGCCTATTTATCGATGCCGGTGAACCCCCACCTAACTTCGGCAACTGCCGCGAAGCCCATGCGAAATGTCCTGATCACCCTGTTGGTTTAGATGACATAATGATGATGTTGTATACGACTTCTTCAAGCCTCTGCAGTGTCCGCGCCTTGTCGAGCCAGTGGCGCTTGCCATCGCGCAGTTCTTGTATCAGCGCCTCTTGCACAAACATGCACAAGCCCGGATCTAAAAGTGCCACGGTGGGGTTTAGACAGGGCTGCTGGAAGGCTAATGTAGGAACCTGATTAAGAAACCCTGGGCTTTTAACCCCAAAATAGTAGGATTCATATAAGGAACCCTAACAAATACAGCCCCAAGGTTTCTTAAGCAGGTTCCTACATTAAGCCCTAAACCCGAAACTATTGTCCTCTGGGTTTCAATCAGTCTAGTCCAGGAGCCAAGACCGGATTTCGGGCGCTCGGGAGGACATGTAGATAGCTTGCTGTAGTGTCGGGGCCTTAGAGGTTTTGGGCTCCTTGATGGCATATTTAAAATAAGGAAGCCTGACCAATAAGATGGGTAATAAGTTTTGCTTCGAAAATACTCACAGAACGCATCCTTAGCCCTGAAGAATGCAGAACCGAAACCTCAAGAACCCAATCAAGCCCCAAGCCCTTTTAACCTTGACCCAGAACCCGAGACCGCCGTTGGAACGTAAAGCCTTGTAAGATCACAAGCTCTCTCCAAGAGCTTTGTTGCAGCATCCTGATCCGACTCCGGATAGCCTGGGATGGACTTCATCTCACGAAGAGTTGAGAGCACTAATGCATCCGCAGACCCGTCCTCCAAAAGTTTTCCAATTTGCATGGTCAACGCCTCGATTCCACTGGCAGTCTTCTTCCAGATACTTACTAGAGAGCAGACTCCTTCTTCTAGAGTCTCGAAGATGGGAAAGTTCCTTTCCTCCCTGCCGAAGGAAGCCCGCATGTCGATGTCCGAGGCATTCAAGCACGACGATGTCACTCTTTCCATGTACAGCCGAGTCGAATCATAATTGTAGTGCAGAACTCGGAGAGTGGGACCAGACTTTACGCAACCTTAGACCCGGAGCCCAAACAACGTTTGATTAGGGTTTAGGTATTTAGGTGTTTAGGGATTTATAGGGTTTAGTCTCTGTAACACAACCCCAAAACCCTCAACCCTGGTAACTGGAAGCAAGGGTTCTGTGGTGTGCTACATGATCTATGGCTAGGCAAGGAGTTAACAGGATATTTGGGGGCCGTGCTGCTTGCTGCTCAGAGTGGTGTCTCATGATCTACTACAGGGCTTGCAGGGGATACCATTACCAATGATGCAGAACTCTGTATCGGGTGCAGGCCCCATTTGGGGTCAGGAAGGGGCGACAAAGGCTCGGAATTAAAGTGAAGCCCTTTGAAACCGATACAGACCCGTGAACCCTAGCTAAGATTCTCTCAGGCAAGTATTTATCAGGTTTCTGACCTCCTCCTCGCTGGCAGAGACGAAGTCGGGCACCACTAGAAACCTTGGCGAGACTTCCTTCCTTCCGTCCTTCCTTGCTTACGTACATACTTACTCGCGTACTTACTCACTTACTTACCTACTGACACACACTCATGCTTCCTTAAACATACATACACATATATATATATATATACACATATATATATATATATATATATATATGTAATAACCATGTCTGGGGACAAACAGCAAGAGAGATGGTTTCCCTTCTGATCCGCGTCATTGTGATCAGCAGAACCCACCTCCACACCACCACTCCATGTTGATGCTCATTCATCATATCTCATCATCACAATGTTGATCACCTTCGCATTCATCTGTCGGCCCGGCCATATTCCCAGTTGCACGCTGTAGACGAGTAGTTAACAACTCGATACGCATGGATGTTCATGACCACAGCGACGACTACGGCGCCACGGCCACCGTTGCGGCGGCGGCGCAACGACTCCGACTGATATAGGGGCCTTAATAATTAGAATCGGGTTCTGGGGCCCATTATAGTATAACTATGAATGATAAGGAGCCCAAAAATAGGGAATCATTAAGGCCCCTGCAGTAATGCACATGCACTATTACTACGCACGACGACATGAAGAGAAACATCTCCGAAGATCCACAAACCCCAGAGCCGATGCGACCTCGTCAAGGCGGCATAAGCCTAGCCATGCCGGCTTGTGGGGCAACCACAATCGCCACCTATAACCCCCTTAGAGCCATAGTAGAAACCATATGCTTAATAGTCTCTTTTGATTTTTCTGAACACGACTAAAGAAAACAAATTCCCAAGAAGACTATAGCCCCTCAGGCGGTCATCTCTTGAGCTTTGTGCAACATCAAACAGCTGGAGAGGACGTTGCCACTGGCTGTTCGCAGCTGTGAGCGACCTTCCACACCCCGTCTACCACGGAGAGCTGCACCACGAACCCAAAACCCCCGAACCCCCTGAAGCTAAAAAATCAAACGCAATATCCTGACACGGCTGCACGATCCACTATTGATCCCTTCAAAACTCCCCACGCCCCCTAAACCCTAAACACGACAAGTAAACACTAACCCTGGGGCTCCAAGTATACAAATACTACGTACTTTGGGGCCTAAAAATCTATAAATAATACCTACTTTGGGCTATTTGGAGCCCAGGGTAATGTAATCAAAAAGGTCTTCACCTTACTCTAGTTTACCATAACTTAACCAATGCCAGTCATTGACTATTCAGGCTTCTACACTGGGCCTCCTACTTCCTAAGCTAGATTCTCTTGGGCACAATAACGGACGATACAACATGTCCCAAGTATATATATATATATAGCTTCTCCAGTATAGTATACTAGGCCACCGGGCCCCTGCGGCTTCTCTGGGCGGAGCACGCCGGACGGCAACGAGCGCTTCGGAGCCATTGCGGAGGGGCCGGTTCTAGGGTTTGTGATTCAGGGATATGATTAGGGCTCATGAGCATTGCTATTAGTGTGTTGCAGTAATACTTATCACCGCTTGATTTGTTTGGCGTAGGGTTTAGAGTTAGCGGTTTGGGGTTTGTGGTTTGGGGTTTATAGGCCTTACCAAACCTACGTTCTTATGTCTCCTCATTATGCTTTCCTTATCTGAGTTTCTTGAAACGGTAGGTTAAGTGAGGTTTTGGGTGTCTGGTTTCAGGCTTCCGGAGTGGGACTCGGTGGGCTTTGAAAGAGACTGGGGCTCGGTTTCGGGTTTAGGGGTTTAGGGTTTGTATAGGGTTTTTGTGGGATTCAGGTTGTACAGCAGAAGCCGGACAGTTGGAACATCAGTATCCTCATGCCCTTAAAGGTGGATTATAGGGGATCCGAGCACTAATCATCCTAAAGCCATGTTCCAACTTTCTGGGGTTCACCATAAGGGGTTCGAGTTTAGGATTTGGAGGCGCTTTGAGGGGTATTTAAGGCATGGGGGCTTTCGGCTCTTGGTGGATTTGGGGCTAAACTTTGGGACTCAGGAATCAGGAATCAACGGGGCTTAGGGCTTGGGGTTTACGGTTCAGGTGCTTGCGAGTAGGTTTGCGTTATCCTTTCGGGGTTGCTCTGTAGGCCTCTTGAAGATTTCAGCCAGTATGGCAACCTCCGAGGCAGGAAAGCTCAAAGCGGCCGGAGCCTTGCGTCAGGTCCCGTAAACCCACACTGGCAGGATCTGTCGGAGTGCCAAGTCAAGGCTCCTGGTGCATCTAGTTCGCGGTTTAGGGTTTAGACTTTAGGGTTTAGGGTTCAGGGTTTAGAGTTTACGGCCTCGCACTAGAGAATCTACGGCAATCCCAGGCCTTTGGAAGAGGATCCTGGCCACAAAGACAAGACCCCTCGAACAGCATCGTTTCGGCCTGAGGCTTCAGTGTCTAATTGGTGCGTTCCCTTATCTTAATAGGGATTAAAGTATTACGGGACTATCATCATCCCCGGCTCCTCAACTCCCCCAGTATCAGTAATGGTTAGTTAAGGCCTACACACTAGAAGCTGCCCCCACCCTGTAAGAGTGGTATACCCTAATATAATCCCTATAGTCACTATTGCAGGGTGGGGGCAGCTTCTAACCTACACACCCTACGCCCTCAGCAAAACAGGACCAGCCCGAAGACTCCCACATTGGCACCTTTGGCAATCGCTCGAGGTAGGCCGCCAGAACCTCTCCCCAGATTCTCCAGCATCCCTGAACCCTAAACCCTAAGCAGCCCTAAACTTATTAGGGGTCCTTCTTCAGATTGAAATATCATACACAGGTTCAGGGAGTTTTTTGAAAGCTGCAGTTTACTCCATTCTTCTGAACTTGCACGTAAGCCATCGGGTCACAGGAGTGCAAGACTCTCAAGTTGAATTACCTAGTTAATAAGGTTGGGGCGGCTAGGGTTCAGGGTTTCGGGAGCACAGGCATAGGGCCTACCTACACCCAAAGCTCGCACATCCAGAAACAGGACAAGCCCTTTTAGCACCCGTACAGTCAGCACTTCCGTGGCCCTAGACTTAAAGCCCACGACATCGATACTGTCTAGGCATTAAGGTTATATACCAGGATTACCTGAAACCCAAATCCAGTTTTTCAACGTCATAACAAAACCAAACCAAGCAGTCCCCCCTTAACAAAAGTAGCTTGCAGACCTTACATTACAGGGTTGAAGCAGTTCTAAGAGCTCAGGGTAAGGTTAACACCAAACCCCATTTGCACCTGAAGACCTAAACACCCAGCAATCCGAAGCCCCAATTCTCCCAAAAGCCCCCAAAAATTGAACCCTACACCCTGAAGCCCATACCATACACGCTCCTTGCAGTCGCTGCAACGCACAAACCAGTCACTCCCTGTCAGAACTAGAAAGCACAAATCCCAAGCCTCAAATCTTCGGGTTTTACAGGGCTTATACGGTGAATTCACCGAAAATTTACGTGTTCATAGGAGCTATATAAGGGTTCCCTGAAGCCTTTCCAGTCGACACCTCAAGCCCCTCACTCCCAAGCCATAATTGCTGATTCAAGCCGACAAACCCTCAACCCTCAAACCCTAACCAAATCAACGCTAAAGCTTCAAAAGCCCTGGACCCCGGGACCCCTAAGAGTTGAAACCCCGCTCAACTCCCTGAACTCCGAACGGGCCCCCTTGTTGCATTGCTGCAGAAATCCACGGTTGGATCATATTTCAAAGAAGCCCCATAAGTATAAGTATTCTGAATTCCGATTCTTAAGACCGCTTCACGAAATCCAGAAAGCCCCAGGAAAACACAGAGATCGCTGCGCATCCCGATTTCGCAAGACAATACTAAACCCTGTGCAAATTCCCATAAAAAGCCAGCAAAGAAGCACCCTGCAACCCAATCCCCCCAGACCCTCTTAAAACCTCCTTTCTGATTCTGGAGCCCCTATGCCCGAATGTCCACAGGCCCCTCTAAAACGCTTGATCTCTAGCAACTGCAAGTTCCATGTACTAAACACCTATGATGTCAAACCCCAGAAGCCGTAAAACCCAAATCCCAGAACCAAACCCTCCACTTCATAAGCTCCATCATTACCCATAGGCCCCAAAGTAGTTCCTTCTTGGGATTGCCTTATAGGATTCTAAATATGAGCCCCAAGAAGGAACTACTTTGCGGCCTTAGGGTTTTCCGCCGACCTCCGGCGCGGCTTTCGCATCCGCACTCAAGGAGCTCCGGTCTCGGGTTTATAGGACTTTTTCGAAGGAGGGTTTAGGGTTCCTTTTAGGGTTTAGGGTTTAGCGTATAGGACTTTTTTTAAGGGAGGGTTTAGGGTTCCTTTTAGGGTTTAGGGCTTTGGGTTTAGGGTTCAGGACTCTTTTGAGGGAGGGGTTCCTTTCCCTAGGGATCCAAGGACTCATATAACTAGGATACCCAGTAACCTAGGAATAAAAAGGCCTCTCTTTTTGGTATTGGGTTTCTTTGTAAGGAACCTAGGCTACAAAAAGGGAATAAGGGTACTACTGGGCATCCTAGTATATTAAGGCTTTTGGGCCCAAAGACCATACTATACAAGGCTTTCGGGCTATTTTGATCCCTAGGGTTTTTTCCACCCTGTACCGTAAACCCCGAACCCTAGACCTTATACCCCACACCCTTAACCCTAAACCCCCCACCCTAAATACTAAACCCCAAACCCGACACCCCACACCCTAAACCCTAAACCGAGTGGGTCGCGACTGAAAGGCCAGGCCGGCGCGCAGGGTCTTTGCAAAGGGTGTCGTTTCAACTGCTCAGGGTGCGGAGCACCCAATTCGATACTTGGGAGACGGTTTAGGGTGTAGGTGCAGTAACCCTAAACCCTAAGTTTGCTCGGGTTCCCTGCTGTACTTGCAGTTTCTCGTGGGGTTGCTCGGATTCCTTTCTGTCGCCCTAAACCCTAAACCCTAAGCCCTAAACCCTAAGCCCTAAGTCCTAAACCCTAAGCCCTAAACCCTAAGCCCTAAACCCTAAACCCTAAGCCCTAAGTCCCAAACCCTATTCAACCCTAAACCCCGGAAATCCGAGGACCCGGCCGAATCCAGCCTCCACGGCTTCGCGGACGCCGGCGCCCTCTTCCGTGTGGACTTTTGGCTTTGGGTTAGGGGTTTAGGGTTCAGGGTTCAGGGTTTAAAAGGACTACGGGTTCTTAAGGCTGTGGATTTTTTTTTGAACTCCTTTTCTCCAGAGGAGTTTTAGGGTTCAGGGTTTAGGGCTTTTGGCTTTGTGTTTTGGGGTTCATTGTCTTTTTTTTGAACGCCATTTTCCGTCTGCTAGTGCAGGGGTCAGGGTTTTGGGGTCAAGGGTGTTTTTTTTCAAAGTGCAATGGCTCTGTCTGCGTCTAGGGTTTAGGCTTCAGGGTTTAGGGTTTAATATGACTATGGGCTCTTGAAGCTACGGTTAGAGATAATAGGACGTCGGAACTATATGCTGCGTTTAAGAAACTGAAGACAAGGCATGGGAGCTGTGCTGTTTGCACAGGGGCTGGCTGCTGGCTGCCCTCTGGTTTTGTTCTGGCCTTCCTTGGTTTGAGGTCCCGGAGAGTTTGCAGGGATCTGCCTGGTTTCTGGTCTCTGCTTACCTGCCGGTGATGAGCCGTACCTCAGTCTACCATACAGTCCTGATTTGCACGGTGCTAGCAGAATCCTACAATCGAAATTTCAGGCTTGCAATTACAAAAGCGTAGCTTGTGGTGGGATATGCCGACGGCACTGGACCTCACACGGGGTTGGGCCAACAGGGCGAAACCAGTGGACTCTTTTCTCGCGTGACATCTGTCCTCCTTGACACATCTACGTGCTCACACCTGCCATGAAGATGGTCATTGGGCAGGCGGAGCATAGGGTACATGCTTCACTCAGGTAGGAAGCTCTACGCAGGTTGTTTGGCAAGTGTTCCGCCCACGAGCCACCCGCAATGTTTCAAAAGGCCCACGTCGGGCTCTACGGTTCAAGGCAGTGAAAGCTGCTACGGTAGTGTCAGAAACCAGCCACATAGACACTCCATCAGTGGATCCATGCAAGGTCTCATGCAGACTACTGGCGGCCCTAGGCTGTCTGCCGGACAACAGCCTTCATTTGGGCTGCCCTTCAGGCCGACAGCCTTGCAGCGCATGCAGGTGCCTTAAAACAGGATCCACGGTCGCACCTTAACCTGCCAAACCCTTATAGGTTCTTATTCTAAACCCTAACATTGATATGGAATTATAGGGTTTTGGTAGGGCTTAAGGTAGGCTGTGCCTTTCAGTCTCTTCTGGGCGCATGTTGCTGAGCCCGGAAAGACCGCCGCCGGCATGTTTCAGCAAGTTTCGCCGACACCTTCGGGAAACTTTTGAGCTATTTGTCGGGTATCATGGGGAACTATACAGGTTAACCTTTTTGGTTATATAGGGACTATACTACCCACAAACAAGGTTTAAAGGTTGCTACTCCACTATTAGGTTGAGCCTCAAACCCTACGCCCTAAAACCGCGCTTCCGGCTGCTCGCGTTGAAGGAAGCTTCTATATTCCACACCCACCCTGAACTTTAAACCTTTTACCCGGATCCCAAATAACCTACCTTTCTTGGGCTTCTTAGCATGGTTTCCTTATTAAAGTCCTGAAAATAGTAGGTTATTTGGGGTTCGGGCAATGCCTAAAATCCTGTAACCCTAAACCCTATAGACCCTAAACCCCGAAACCCTACACCCAATCCAACAAAAAAGAAGCCCCGGACCTGTCTGCGACGTGCGGCCACCGACGCCTTCGAGGCGATCTCCAAGCGCGCCTCTGTGGCCCTCGAGGCCCTCTCTAAGCGAGCCTTGAACCGCTTCCTTAGCTGCTAGGTTTAGGGTTTATAGGGTTCAAGGTTTAGGGCTTATAGGGTTTATAGGCGTTTTAAGGTTTGTTGGGTTTAGGGTTTTATATGGCTTATAGTGTTTATAGGGCTTATCGGGCTTCTAAAGTAATTTATAGTGTTTATAGGGCTTAGGTTCTCGGCTGCTGGGTTAGGGCTTTAGGCTTCCCAATGACGCCAAAACCCCCTTAACGAAGGCAAAAAGTTGCCCGACAATCTCAGTAATCCTAAATCCCAGAACCTCACTGAAATGCCAGGAAGTTTCGCGTAGGCGCCATCCACGGACGCTGCGGCCTCCGTAACCGACAGGGTTCGAAGCCTCCTCTTGTTCGGACATCGCCGCATCTCCGTCAGCGCCTTACTGCTCAGGTTGTGTAAGGTTTCGGTTTAGGGCTTGAGGATTTAGGGTCCAAAGTTTAAGGCGTCTCGGCCCGAGGCTTTTTCATGGGGGAATTTCGCTGAATGCGTGTTCCCTTGTGTAAAGTTGACCAGACCCCAGCGGTAGTAGGTAGTTGATCTTCGCTGTTTGCTGGTCTGCCCGTCTGGTCTCCCTCCTTTCGATGGGGTCGAGCTCGGGGGGCCTTCTGTTTCACTAGCAGCGCAACTTTTGAGCCCTTCTTCTTAGTCGCTCAAGACCTTCGGACCTCAATGCGAGTCAGTCAGTCAGTCCAAAGTTTAAGGGTTAAGGGTTAAGGGGTTTAGGGTTTAAGGGTTTAGGTTAAGGGTTGCGGTTTCGGTTTAAGGGGTTACGTTTGGGGTTTAAGGGATTAGGATCTTGGGTTTCAGGGGGTTTCGGGCTTCGGGGTTCAAGGATTCTAGGGCTCATTCAGGGTGGTTTGCAGGATTTCGGGCCTGAGGCTTCAGAGGGTATGGGTTTTGACTTGGGGTTTCCCTATTCTAATTATTCAGGCCTTTCTAGTAGGGACCAAGCCGAAGATGCGCCTCAAGACACCTTAAGCCCGCAAAGCTTCAAACGCACCACAGGCTGTGACAACTCATAGGCTTCTAAAACCTATACCCTGTACTCCAATCCCTAGGCCCTTACGCTACACCCTAAACTTAACTCTAAACCCTAAGCCTAAACCCCTAACCCTAAACCCTAGGCCCAGCCTCCCGCAGGAATGGCCAACCCCGACCGGCAGCCCTAATCAGATGGAGACGATGATGCAGGGCATTCCGCAGCTTGGTATAGGGCCCCTCCAACCTGCTGAAGCTCTATTTGACGTGACGTTTCGGCTTTGGGGTTTAGTTGTTGAGTCAAGGTCCTCCTGCGACTCCCTTTTAGAGCCCGCGCCCCGCCCCCCCCCCGTTCGCCGGGCCCCTGAGGCCGCCCCCGAGTGCCAGAGAGGGAGAGTGAAAGAGAGAAGAGGGGCGGAGCCCAAAGCTCCCCTCCAACCGGTTTAGGGTTTAGGGCTTAGGGCCTTGAGGTCACCTGGATGTCGGGTTTCAGGTTTAGGGTTTCAGGGCCAACCAAGACTTCAGATTCAAGGCTATCTACATAAGTCCTTGACTTGGGTTTACGACTTCGGGCAGACACGGGTGCTCTCAGACAGGCTCCATCCCACGCTCGCCCTGCGTCCGACCTTATGCTCTTTGGTATGGCCCCTACGTGGCAACATAACGACAACAAGAAGACCTTTTAAAAGTTGAAAGCACATACACAGAAACAAGCGAATCAAAAACAAGCGGGTACAGGATATGTTCATCCCCTAAACCCTAAACCTTAAAGCAGACCCGTGTAGACATCCCGTCGCCCACCTCATCGAGCAGTGCAGCACTGCCCTGAAGGACAGCTGCATCTCCGGCTTCCTCAGGGCGCCCCACGGAAGCCCCAGAAACAAGAACTATACCTTAGGTACTGCCCCCATACAGTAAGAGTCTATAATAGGGCTACTATTAAGGTCCTAATATATCTATATTATGAATATTATTCAACTATTACTGAGTGGGGGCCGTACCCAAACTATACCCTACGAGCCTATACCCTACGAGCCCTGTACTCTCTAAACGCAAAGAAGCCTCAAAGTATCCTTCCCTGAACCCTAAAGACCCTAAACCCCTAACCCGAGGTTTCCAACCCTACAGAAGCAGGTCGTGACACCTACTTTCGGGGGGGCGGGGGGGGGCTATGCAGCCACAGAAACCCCTTCCACAGAAACCCCTTAAAGCATCAGTCCTGTAAGCTTGATGCACCAAACCTGCACCTCCAAACCCTACAGTAGAAGCCACAAAGTGGGAATATCATTATCGTAACCCCTTTAAGGTAAATTATAGGGGATCCTACCATTAATCCATATTCCAACTTTCTGGATTTCCTTTATCAGCCCTGAGCCCTCACAAAAACAAAGTAAAGATCCAAAGCCAAGCTTCGTGGCGAGGCTCAAGCAAGCGCTCTCAAACGCACCAACCTGGGCCCCGGTGTATTATTTAACACCAAGTAATTAAGAACCAATCCTGGTTAAGAACTCACGCAAGGAAATCATAGTAGTGAAACTGGATGGCAACAGCTTTTGATTCTCTGAAAACAGTCGCGGCCTATGTTTGGTGAGGGAATTCGGCTTAAATGGAGGCGATACAGCTCAAGAAGAAGGGTTTGGTGTCTGTTGAGGTTCGGGGTTCGGAGCTCAGGTTTAGGCTCTGGAACTAGTTGCAGGGCTTCGAGCAAAGGGTTGTAGGACTTAGAGCCTAGTGAAGAAGGCTTTGGGCCTGCCGGAGTTCTAGTCTACAGGGATGCTTATCTCAAGGTCCTTATAGCTGTTGCTACAGGGCTCTAGATATACACAGGTGTTAGAAGGATTTAGGGTTAAGGGCACAAGGACAAGCTTTAGGATTCGCGCTGAGGAATAAGACCTGGGAAACGACAGAAGAGTTTAGCACCTGGCCGATTTGGAGTTGAAAAGAAGCCGCTACGATTCAAACAATCGATGTGGGAGTTTCCGGAAATCAGGGGTACCTTATTTTGGGGTCCTTATAAGAAGGATCCTACTATTTAGGATACTATATTAGGACCCCCTATGTTTGGAAACTCCCATGTTCTGCCTGCCGATCCAACAACCTGCAGGTTCCTTGCAGTTATACTTATATGGGGGCTGTTCTAAATTATGGTCCCTTTTTGGGTACCCTATATAATAAGGACTATACTACTATAGGGCCCAAAAAGGGACCATAATTTAGAACAGCCCCCATATACCCTTTTGCGATGGAATCAGGCTGCTCATGCGAGGGCCAGGGAACTGGTAGATTATAGCACTTGTGATACATTTTTGACGAGATTGAAGGAGATTAGACATTGGATCGTAACCAAGTGACAAACTGCTCGACATCTTCCATGCAAACGGCGGCAACTTTTGCGCGGACGGTGGCCTGGACCCGGGTCAAGGCCACCAACATGTCCAAGGACCTCTCCAGGCTCGAGACATACCTGAGCGTTTAAGGTTTAGGCAGGGTTTAGGGCCCCCAATACGCACATAAGCCAAAATGGTGATAGGGATATGCCGTAAATACGCCCTTGTAATGAAGTCCAATAAGGTAGGGGCACCGCCAGAAAATGCTCATTATGTTCTTTTTGGGCCCCTAACTCAAGGCAACATCGCCTAGGGAGCCCAGAATCGACGTTTTGAAGGCTCCAACTTTGCATAAATGGTGGGTTGATTCCCCTCCTCAAAAACCAGGGCTCCCTAGGAGAAACCTCCAGGATGCAACAACTAGTGCAACTGGGATTTGAATGCTTCCGATACGGGTTCCTTTAAATAAGGGTGCCTTTAAGGGGTTCCTGTAAGGGATCATAGGGGGTTTAGGGTTAGTTTAGGATGATATAAATCCTGCATTATCCATAGTGAGGAATATACCATAATTCCCATAGTTTCGGGTCCTTAACGTAATGCAGGATTTATATCATCAACCGTTCTGGTCCCGGGATGGACTCTGGATCTAAGAAAGTACGATTCGGCATGGCATCCAATGACAACCCCCTCAACCTAGGAGCATGGAACCGTAAACCCCGAAACCCTGTGAAGCACCAAACCTTAATATTAATATAGGGGTCTTAATGATTAGAATAGGGTTTCGGGGCCCATTCTACTACCGCTAGATTGAAGAACAACCGAAATAGTATAGGTAATTATTCAGGCCCCTAAAGTATACCTTCTTCCTAAAGCCAACAGTCCAGTCCAGCCGCTGAGTCCGGGCTTCCACAGGCCCAAGCCCCTGTCTTACCCGGTAATAGATACCAGTGTCACGCTGGACCCGCTCCAGGTGGCTGGCATAGCAGCGGTCCTACATGGGGAGAGAAGTCAAGTTCAATGTTTGTTTAGGTTTTCGGCTTCGGATGGAAAGATTTGCGAATTTCGGGTTCTGAATTTGGGCTTTGCCAATGTCAATGCGGATTCTGTAACAGCCACTGCCGCTTGTCCAAACCATAGATAGATTGGCCATGTAGAACATTTCAAAAGCATCCGTCCTCAAAATAGAAAAGACTTCAGCCCAAATCTGTCGAATCTAAACCAGTGAATGCGAGCCTTTAGATATATCCGAAGACCCGAGCCTGAATCCCTACATCCCTAAATCCATAGATCCGTTCTGCCACAGCTATTTGCGCACATCGAGAAAACTACCCCTAACTAACCACAAACACGAAGTCATCAAACCCCCAACCCTTAAACCCGAAACCAAAAACATATTGAAACTTAAATTTAAGTTAACTCAACTCAAGCCGATTCGCCGTCACTCACTGACCGACGAACCTAGCAGAAAAACAAGGCGCACAACAGCTCCTGCCACCGAACTCGGCCCTGCGCGTAGCAAAGCGCCGGAGCAAGTCCTCTTCTGGAATGGCCGGCCTGCATATGTCCTTGGCATAGAAGGCATAAAGGAAGGCACTAACAGTCTTTTGGGATGGTACATGGGCAATGCAATGCTAGGGCCAGGACCCACCCCCAATTAGACAGGCTTACCCGATCTCACCCGAAATAAACCTGACCTTGAATAAACCCCCCTGCCCAGCCCCCCCCAATTAGAAGGGACTAATTACTACTACTGTACTACTACTGTACTACTGTACTACTACTGTACTACTGTACTACTACTGTACTACTGTACTACTACTGCACTACCAGTGTTACTAATCCATATTAGCTTTCCCCAAACCACCAAACAAGGTTCTCCAAGACCTTGACCACTTAATCGTTCCCGCGGGTTTGGGGGCGAGGCGTCCGACCTTGTGACCTTGAAACCGGGGGGGGGGGGGGGCTTTGTTAATCAGGGGCCTACATTAGTCCTTATCACTACCCGAGGGTGGTTTGGAGTGCAGAGGCTTAGGTGTGTAGGGCTCAAAGACAGAACCCCCCAAACACCAGTGACAACTGATGGAATGCTGGCGAGGCGTCGGTAGAGTGCCGCCCGTACGGACGGCTTCAATCGGTCTAAAGCCTCTCGCCGCTCCTCTTCATCTATGGTTTAGGAGTTTAGGGGTCAAGGGTTTAGGAGTTTAGGGGTTAAGGGTTTAGGAGTTAAAGGTCAAGGGTTCAGGGTTCAGAGTTGAGGTACGGGCGTCCATGCTTAGAGATGAGAATATGGTTTGGGCTGATGTTGAAGTATAGCTGTATAGGTGTAGGAATTATAGGATACGTACTACATCAAGGGCCTGAGGGAGAATTAAAGCGCTTGAAGCTGGGGCCTTTACTTTAGAAACAGGATTTGGAGGGTAATTTACTGTATGAGTACAAGAAAAGGAGGACAGGGTGACATTACTACGAATTGTTAACTACATTGTTAGATTCAGGATGTAAGGATTTGGGGTTTGAGGTTTTAGGGCTGAACGCTTAGGGCTACTTCAAATCTTAGACACCAAGCCACCAAGCCCGCAACTCAATATCCCGACCCTCGACCCTAAACCCTCTCTAGATAGATCAGCCCTGAGCCCTAAATCAACGCTAATCAAGCCCTTGACTCTAAGCCCAAGGCCCTAAACCCCAAACCGACAAAACTCCTCGGCGGGCACCGACCGAAGTGCGGATTCGAGGCGGCTCAGACAAAGCTGAAGCTTCGTCAGCTTCGGCGCCTGACTCCATGGTGCAACTGCTGCTGCTCATGGGTGTAACTCGTGTTATAGTTCTGACGAAGGAGTAGAACCGCCACACAAGTGTGCTAAACATCGCGGCCACTATGTCAATGCGAAGATGAGCAGTTGCAGCAAACCCTAACGGCGAATGTCCACAACCGAATTAAACCATAACTTGAAAATACCCTGCAGCACTCTGAATCTAATCCTGCATTAAGCACAGAAGTTCCTAAACTCACCCTCAACCGCCGCCCCGCAGCAAGCTCTGAGCCTACGGATCCGACGGCAAGATCCTTCAAGCTGTAATCCGTAAAGCTAAAAGACTCTCGAGACCCTGAGCCCTTGTAAAAAAAGGGACCATAATTGTGACAACCACCCATATACTAGACCCAAGAGTGACCCAGGAATAAGAAGGGTGCCCTTTTTGGTTTCAAGGGGGTTATAAGGGAACCTGAACCCTAAAAGTGTAGTAACTCAAGGGACGTATCTAATTCATAACATGGATTGCGCCGTAACTGGTTGTCCTCAATTCACTAGATCTTGAAGTCTCTATGGGCAAACCCAAAAACCTGTGCTTGTGAAGGACTTTAATTTAAAATACCACAGCAGCGATCTATACTGAATACTACGGCTTCCTTATTTCTTATGATAACTTGAGTTGAATTCCTTAACTACTACTTGCTTAAGAACCCCCAAAAAATAAAAAAAATATATTCCTTATAGGGATAATATAGGGATTATCATTTGTTATTCTTTGGGGGGTTCTTAAGCAAATAGTAGTTAACAAGACCCCAAAAGCCCTTGTAACCGGGGCCTTGCCGCTCAGCGCCACGAGGCTCCGCTTTGTCGGGAGCTTTCGTAGCTGCCGGTGGCAGGGGGAGCACTGGCCTTCCACGACTATACTGAACTTAGAACCCTAGCAAAAATTAAAAATTTTAGCTGCTTCTTAGGGATTATCATAACCAAAAATTAAAATCTATTTCTAAGTACCCCTAAGACGAGGCTGAAGCAGGCTTACCCCAACCCCTGTTAAGGGTGTCGGGTTTAGGTTATAAGCGATTCACCCTATAGGCTTACCCTACTAAACCCTGTCAGGTTTAGGGTTTAGGGTTTAGGGTTTAGGGTTCTAAACCCGTTAAGGGTTATAAACCCTAAACTCTCGTGCTTCGGAGCATTGTTTTTGAATCCAGGAGTGCGCCTTGAGGCACAGGCCGCGACGTCAAAACAAGGAACCCAAAGCCTGAACCCTGCAGGCTAATAATAACAATAACAATGGTAATAATAATAGTAACAATAATAATAATAGTAGTAATAATAATAACAATAATAATAATAGTAATAATAGTAATACTAGTAATAATAGTAATAAGAGTAAATCTCAGGCCTTCCACGAGGCTGCACCCCAAACCCGGCTGGCACTGCATCAGCACCGAGTAGGCATTCCTCGAGCCAAAGTGTTCAAGACTACCGCGATCGCCAGAGTAAGAAACGCTCAACCGTGGACCCCGAACCCCTAAAACCTAAACCAGAGTAAGAACCCTGTTTTTTAGCAGCACTGCATGGGCCTGCTGTAGAGACATCTGCCCTGGTGTTGAAGGACTTCCAAAACAAACAAGGCCCTGGTCTAATGTCAAATTGCAGTAGTATAGCCAAATAGAAAACGTAATACAACAGTGTATATTCATTGTAGTTCCTCGCTTTAGCTGAGGATCCTGTATTTTAACACCAAAAAGGAACTGCAATGGAGAGTACAGGCAGAACATGAAATGTCATGGTGTAGCCAAGCCAACAGCAAGACGGCACTCGAAACCGCAGGCTCTCAAACGAAAACCAATCTTAAACCCAGAAGCCAAAAACTCCGAAGCTATCACAACAAAAGGCTCTAAACCGTCAACCCTAAGCACTGAATCTGAACCTTAAAACGAAAAAAATCGACATGCCCTAAACCTCAAGCCTATAACGGACTAGCCAGGAGTCAGAACTACCCTAAACCCTAAACCCCAGACCTGAATCCCTAAAGCCTAAACCCCAGACCATAATCCCTAAACCCTAAACCGATTCGCCAGGAATCATCACTGCCCGGAACTGAAGGAGCGAGCCACCGCAGTCCGGGTGCGCTCGGAGGCCCTCACGCCTGTGACGCGGCATCCCCAGGTCTCCCAAAGGGTCGAACAAAGTCGGAAAAGGCTTGAGTCTTTTTCCTTGGGGCTCCAAATAGCCCAAAGTAGGTATTATTTATAGACTTTAGGCCCCAAAGTAGGTACTATTTGTATACTTGGAGCCCCTGGGTTTTGGTTTAGGGTTTAGGGGTTTAGGGTTTAATGTTTCAGATTGTTTTTGGGGGTTTAGGGTTTCTTTATGAGGAATTACCAGTAAAACAACTTAGGGAAGTGTCCCCCATAACGGACCCTTTGGGTCTGTGATTTACGACGTCAGCTTAGGGCTTGTTAAAAAACCCTAAAAACCCTAAAAAAACCCTAAAAACCCTAAATCCCTAAACCCTTGAGCCAACATCCTACCGTCCATGGGCTTCGGGTCGGAGGCTGAGGGCTGAGGGCCCGAAGCCCTCAAGCCTGTACCCTTACAACTAGACCCAAGAGTAACCTAGGAATAAAAAGGGTGCCCTTTTTGGTTTAAAGGGGCTTATAAGGGGACCTGAACCCTAAAAAAGGGAATAAGGGCCTACTCCAGGTCCTAGACAAAGTTCAAAAAAGGGGAAAAGGAGGGACCCTTAATGGGGACCCCTACCGTATAATGGGCTAAATAATGGGTATGTACCCTTACAGTAGAAGCCAGAAAGTTGGAATATCAATATCGTAACCCCTGTAAGGTAAATTATAGGGGATCCTACCATTAATCCATATTCCAACTTTCTGGAGTACCCTTACCCTGGGGCTCCAAATAGCCCAAAGTAGGTATTATTTCCCTAGACTTTAGGCCCCAAAGTAGGTACTACTTGTTTACTTGGAGCCCCAGGGTTACAAAGCAAAAGCGCCCCCTCCTCGCAAAACGTGAAGACAGAGAAAGAGATTTAGGGTTTAGGGTTTAGGGCTTAGGGGTTCATGGATCCACAGGATAAACCCTGAGATCCAAACCCTAAACCCTTAACCCAAAGCTCTGAGCCCTAAACCCCCAAAGTCCCCCCCTGTTCCGCCTCAAGGCATCACCCAGGTCCTGCACTGAAGCGAGCTCCTCGGCTGCTTTGGCTCTGCATCTTCATTTGGGTTTAGGGCTCAGGGTTTAGGGTTCAGGGCCTAGGGCTCGGGGCTCAGACTTTAGGGTTTAGGGAGTACGGGGTGAGTGTTCAGGGTTTAGGCTTCCGTGTTTGGGGTTTGGGGTTCTGTGTTTAGGGCTTCGGGTTCAGTTTTTAAGCCTGTGATTTAAAGGGTGCAGGGTCTAGCGCTTAGAGTGTAGTGTAAACCGACACGCGCATCTTGTTATTGCGTTGCAATATAAACCACAGGGCCACAAGCATCTATACATGCATATGTAGGTGTGTATGTATATATGTGTGTATGTATGTAGATATGTTCTTATATGCACAACTACCTAGGCCGGCAAGCCTTCCAACCCGAAAACCCCCAGCTGCCGACAGGCTGCAGGCACACACAAAAGAGCTCGAGCCGAATCCAACGAAGTCCTGCGGGGGTCTCGGGGCTCAGGGCTCAAGGCTTTAGGGGTTTTAGGGGTTCCTTTTGGAACCTATAACTCTAAGGGTGCTATAAGGGATCTATATAGGGCTTTAAGGCCGAGGGGTTTCGGGCTTTTGGGGCCCTGGGGGTTTGCAGGGATTAGGGATTAGGTAGGGGTTTAGATTGGGGTTCAGCTAAAGCGCACACTACAAGTAACTCTGAACAGCCCATGGATGAATGGGGTAGCTAGACTTTAGCTGCGACTGCACGGGACTACGAGTGCAAATTTGTCACACCCCTCATACACTCACAATGCACCCCCGAAAGCCTGCACGTAGACTAGATAGATAGATAGATAGATAGATGGATAGATCGATAAACAGATCAGATAGACAGATGCATAGATACATGGATGTGCACTTAATTACATATGGGTGGTTGTCACAATTAGGGTCCCTTTTTGGATATTAGGTGCCGTATTATAATAGGGACCCAAAGAGGGACCCTAATTTTGACAACTACCCATATGTACCGACACACACACACATATATATATATATATATATACCTACATACCTACACACATACATGATGCATCATACCCCTGCGAGGCCCGTCAAGATCGGAAAGTGGGCAGTCCACAAAGCCCGCGAAGACTTGCAAATAATTAGTAGTATAGTATAGGGGCCTTACTAATTAAATTATGGTTTTGGGGCCCGTTATAAAATTAGAATACTTAATAATATAGGGGCCTCAATAAGTACAATACGGTTTTTGGGCCCAACATATTATTATTACGGTGTACAATGTACAATAAGGAACCCGGCAATACTGTTGGTAATTATTGAAGCCCATGTATTACACAGCCTGAAACTTGCAACAACAACGACAAGCTCTTGTAGCACAAGGAACAAACTACCTATGCGAATCGAGGCAAGCCAGAAATGGTATGGAACACCTGCCAAAATTGCTGTCCCCAAACTCTACAACCCCAAAGCTTGAAAGGCTAAACGCTGAAGTGTTGCTAGACACCCGACATCCCAGAGACTCCAATATCCCTTAAAAAGGAATATTCCTGAAATTATGGTAGGATCCCTTATATGATTTAAGGTATAAACCTCAATTAAGGGATATTGGAGTCTCTGAGATAGCCCAAAGACCCCTAGAGCACTGTGGTAGTCAGTCACAACTTCTGGGGCCCGTACATCGTTCCTGTGGCACTGCGAGGTCACCTGAGGGAGGCTACTTGGTGTGAGGTTCTAAAACAGCGCTTCGTAAAGCAAGGGTCTTGAGCATACAAAGGAGCACAAATACCTTTTAATGAAAGGCTTTGACGGGCGGGTGGGGGTCTATAGAGAGAGGTTTTGGATTTAGTGATTCAGGGCTTTAGCAGCTTGAGTTTCAGTGTTTGGGCGTTTGCTGTTTCGGGGCTTAGGATTTAGGGCTTAGGCCTGGGCTGGCATTCTACCAAGCCAGGAGCTGCGGGGCTAAAGTGTTGTTACGGCGCAGATCTGCAAGATGCCGCAAGCCGTCTGATGTTATACCCTGCAGCCCTAAATCCGTAAACCCTAAACCCAGCCTGTGTTCTTTAATGCTTTCCTCTTTGTCTTTGTGCTTCTGCATCGGCTGCAGGCGTTTACCCGCTTCTTGCTGTCCATCTGTTGACTTAGTTGTCAGGTATCATGGGGAACTAAAGGTTAACCTTTTGGGCTACATACGGATTATATAGGGACCATACTACCCAAAAAGGTTAAATTTCCTACTCTACTACTGGGTTGAAGATGGTGCTGATGCTCGTCAGGTTGAGGATGATGAATGCGATCAGAACGGGAATGAGGATGATGACGATGACGAAGAAGACAGTTGTGGTTAAACGAACACCTTGTTGAGATGGGGGTTTAATGTAATGGCTACATATCTAATATCTACTCTGGGCTTTTAAGTACCCAGGGAGAAAAGTATAAACTTCTATTTCATGATGGCTCCTTTAAGAAGAAAGTATTCAAGTATGGTACTCCACTAGCCCAGTACTTACCGACCCCAGCGTTTATCTTATCTAGTTCATGGTTGGGATAGGATTAAAATGTAGATTGTTCTTCCTTATTGGGCTCAGGCACCCATAAAAAAAGGTAAAATGTTACCCAACTATCACAAAGTTTTTGCATCCGAGCTGCCAGGACCTGACTTCGTGGATCTTGAGGATGGCTGGGTTGGCTCTCGTTGATTCCCATGGACCTTCCCAGGCTTCTTTGGGTGGTTGTAAAAAATTATGGTCCCTTTTGGGTACCCTACATATTAGGTGCCGTATTATATAAAGGAGCCAAAAAGAGACCATAATTTTGACAACCACCCTTTTAGGCTTTCGGGGTGTAGGGTTTATGGGGTTTCGTCAGTGCCTTACTCAACCCTAACGACCAGATGCAGCTATTGTACAAAGGCTTGTTGCCCTTCCCCGAAGAGTTCCCATACCCAAATCCTATGAGCGTGGGATTCAAATTAGTTTAGAGGTTAGGGTTAGTTAGGGGTGTGGAATTTTCGCACCCAGCGCGCCTCAAATAATGCCTGAGCTTTGCGAGCACAGCACGGGCACAGCTTCATGCACTGACAGGCAGCTACTGATACTATAACTTTCGTCTTGTCCTGTCATATGTGAGTAACTACAAGGTACCACACATAGGCACGATCCCATGGCGTGTATGCCATGCATATCTTGCTGTTTGCATGTGTTATGTACATATACCTACATTTACATACCAAGCTAATCGTCCATGCGTACATGTACGGACACGCGGAAGTATGTGCATGCATGAATGACTGGTTTCTCAAACCGCATATGTCAGTACACAAACATGGACCGCTGGTGAGTGAGTGCGTGTCTGCGAGCGTGTGTGTGTGTGTGTGCGCGTGCTGCCAACTGATAACGAAATGTGCCTGTGGTGGCACTGTTCAGTTTACAACATGCCGGTGAAGAGCCGTCTATGTGTTGGCTGGCACCTCCAGCAAACTCTACGCGCTGTTTGACCTACTTACAAGGTTGGACATGGTGTACGGCCAGAAGCCAGGACGAGTGCACCTGGCTTCAAACTGTGCAGCCGAGATGCTAATAATCGGAATAATAATAATCCTCAGCTCAAGTCGACAGAGACTGCACCGGATCATGAACCACACGTCTCTGAAATCCAAATATCAAGCCCTATGCCAAAAAATAAGCCCGCATCCAGGACGACAGTCTGAGATAGCGCGAAAACCGTGCAGACAGAGCTCAGCTGAGGCACGCAATCTGAACAACCCTAAGCCTTGAACTCTTGACAAACCTACACAAACTTCGACAGCCCTACACCCTAAACAGCACAGACTCCTAGCCCGACCCTAGACCCGAAACAAGCAACAGCCTTCAGCGGTAAGCACCCTCTAGCCCAACCAAGGCACGGAATAATAATGATAATAATGTTGCCGAGGCCGGTTGCATCGTTGCCGGTGCCTGGGGTTATACCACTCTACCTTCCGCTGACATTGCGATACCCCGGATCTCCACCAATATCGAGCCATGACTGCCGTAACATGCCGTAACCGGAGGTACCAAGACAGAAGCTCATGACTCATGCAGTAACGAGCACATTTAAATGTACACCCTGTGCGAATACATGCATACATATGTACATACATGCATTGTGATTTTTATGAAAGCTTACATACTGATATAGATACACACAGCCGCCACACCGGCTTCGGCACAACGCAATTCTTCACCACACATCAGACACCAGACAACACAAATTCAACTCCAAGTTATACTGCATGACATGGTGACGACCATACCGATAAGGTTCCCAAAGACTTCAGAATGCCACAATTCAGGAACGTTCCTTCAGTTCTAGTAGGATCCAAAATCAAAGGACTTTTGAGTACACTTCTTGACACCAAGAGCCTTTTTTGGAGCACGAAGAGACACCCTCAATCTTGCGCTAAGGACCCAAGAAGGGACCATCGCTTGAATGAACTTGCCATGCCCAAAAGCTCCAAAAGTCTTTGTCCAACTTTCCGTAAAACTAGTTCATGGTTGGGATAGGATTAAACATGTACATTTTTATTCCTTATTGGGTTCAAGCACCCAATAAAATGTAAAATGTTACCTAACTATGACAAAGAAAACTCACAGCACCACGGCAATTCCAGCTCAGCGCTCGGAGCTGTCGACCGAGGCATTAGCCAAATCGGCAAGGCACGTGGGCGCATGAGGGAGAACTTGCCGGAGGATGCGGACATCATCATGGTTCTATGGGATGAGAAAGATCGAGACCTTGGTTTAAGGTGGACTTATTGTGATTACGGTTAATTTTAAGACCATAATAGTAATCACTATTTGCATACTGCTTGCTACGTATTATGACTAATACTGTTCTTATGATTCCAACCTGATTACGATTATGCTTCATGTGCACATGGCAGGTTTAGGGCAGGGAATTTGAGAAAGCCAGGGATCCCGAAAACGACCATTGAAACCAGGGATCCTTGATTTAGGGCTTCGGTATAGATGTTAGGATGTAGAAACATAAAGCACACGCGCACACACACACACACACAGACACACAAACAAACACACACCGGTAGACCCTAAACCCTAAACCCTAAAAAAGCCTGAAGAGCAGTCACTGGCCCCAATGCACGACTAACTTAAATGTCGGAAAGGTTCCGCAGCCTTGGGGTTTCTGATACTATGGCGAGGGATGAGGAAATTGACGACCTTATCTCCCAAACACCTCCATTCGTCACCGTTGCTGGCATCCTAAACCCCGCCTGCAGGAATGCCTCATAAAAACGATATGCTGAATAGTCTCTTGGGTCTTATATGAACAGGAACTTGAAAAACATAAGGATACTATATAGTATAAGAAGGCCTATACTCCAAACCCTAAACCCTGAACCCTAAACCGCTTTTTGGGGGCCACAGGTCATCCCCGGAGACCAGCCGTTTTAGTTAGAGGACCACAGGACCCCGTAAATGCCTAAACCCTAAATCCTAAACCCTGCTTGGAGGATCATGGGACTTAGTAAGTCAGGTGATAAGTACCTTAAGTGGGCTTCTAAGTGCTTATAAGTATAGCTACCTTATTTATGACCCCAGTTACTAAGTCCCATGACCCTTTAAGTATGTAGAATACACCTTAAATTCTAATCCCCAAACCCTCAAGCCTAAGTTCAGGCTTAAGGGCTTCAAGGTTTAGGGAATGCTCCACTGCGTCCCGCGGAGCGTGTGTGCGCAGCAGGCGCCGGTTGCCGCGAGCCGCAGGGACCGCGAGAGTTGGAGGCTGTGGGCCGAGATGCAGTACAAGGTACAACGTGCAAGTGATTCTCCTCGACGTCGGCATGTTCAGCCGTAGTAGTTCTTTCGAAAATGATAATATCATACCTTAGTGTGCAAGAATGAAACAGCAAAGGAAGAAAAAACGAGTGGCGATGGCAGAGCCGTCGCTGTCGCCATCGCAGCCGTTGCCGTCGCCGCCGTAACAATAGCAGAAGCAGCTGCAGCAGCAGCAGAAGTATGACTGAGCATAGCAGTAGCAGTGGCAGCAGTGGCACTTAGTATATAGCAGTGGCGGCAGCAGCAGCAGCAGCAGCAGCAGTAGCAGCAGTAGCAGCAGTAGCAGCAGTAGTCTCGTGTTCTAGAGGGTTTCCGGGGTCAGGATCTTAGGGCTTAGAGCAAAACGTATGTGCTTCTACGGCTTAGGGCAAAGGGTCCGTGCTTCTAAAGTAAAAGCCAGAAAGTTGGAATATGATTATCCTAAGCCCGTTATGGTAAATTATAGGGTATCCTACCCTGAAACCATATTCCAACTTTCTGGAGTTCCCCTTAGGGCCTAGGTTTTGCCGCTTCAGGCTTGGGTTTGGGTTTGTTTGCAGCCAACGGCCGTGGTGAACTTGTTCAGAAGAAACTGTTGATGGACAAAATCCTGCATGACCCTAAGGACTCTAAACTATGGGAACCATGGTATTCCTTACTGGGTAATGCAGGATTTTGTCCATCAGCAGAAGTAACTTAGCAAAGCACAGATTAGAGATTTAATTGCCCCAAGTTCCACGACGCGCATTGCGACTGCATGACAATCCTTCTACTGTTGCGTCTCTCCCTGCTAAACCCAAGATGCTCGAATCTCTTGTCTCGAATTTGGGCAAGAAGGTGGCGAAGGACACTTTAGCCCTTGCTGTAGCTAGCAACATAGCTTGCAGAAACCCTCCTGCCGTGCCACGGGGATTGCACAAACAAGGGCAGAGGCTTGTAGGCTTTTTCCCATGAGTTTAGGGCGAAGAAGACGTTTCCAAGCGGGGTCAAATTTCAGTAGCAGTCCATCTCCAGACCCTGCCTGAAAACTTAGCCCACAAGCCTCTGCGCTTTCGTGCCTTAGCCATAAATCGATTGTGCTGCACACGTCGCCAGTCACCCCAGCTTGTTGATGGAAGCCTGCACTGCAGCTTTGCCACCGGGAAGCCTCCCTGCTAACCCAATCACACCAAAGACACAAACTCTGATTGAACCTTGACTACTGACTACCCCAAACCCCAAGGTTCAGGGTTTAGGGGTTTAGGTTAGAAGGGGCCCCCACCCTGTAATAGTGGTATAATAGGAATATAATAGGGCCCCAATATAATCCTTATAGTCACTATTACACGGTGGGGGCCCCTTCTAAGGTTTAGGGCTTAGGCACATGAACAAGCAAAACCGGAACCCAAGGCCCCACAGCCAGCCCTGAACGAAGGGCTTCGGGTTAAGGGTTTAGAGTTTGAAGTTCCTGAAAGGGTTCCTACAGAGATTCCTACGCGAATTCGGTAGGAATCAATAAGATGACGGGTTAAAGACTCCCAAATCCCCTACTTGTTTGTAATTGTTCGTATCAGTGAAGTTATACGGATGTCTAAGGCTGTATTCCTTATGAAGCGAATTTGAATTTTGGGCCGCAGACCCTTGCGCTAAGGGCTCTAGTGTTTTAGGATCTTCCGCGACTCCCTTTCTGATGCCAGTCTATTGGGTCATTGTCAACGACCGCAACACCTCTCAGATTTACAGGGCCTTATGAGATTATCATACTATAAAGCTTTGTACTATCTTGTTCTCTGTCTTATCTCACATTACCCTCTACTATGTCACACTAAACCCTAAACCTCAAACCCTAAACCCTAAACCTTCTACCCTAAACACTATAACCCCGAAACCCTCAACCTCCTCTAACCCCTGAACCTCAAACCCGAGACCCTGAACCTTGAAGGCTTAGGATTCTAGTTTTGCGGCCCTTCAAAGTACTTATGAATAGGTAACACTATAGGAAGCATAACGGAAATAACAAGGCTTCCCAAAATGCCACCTAGAAAACTATGTGGCTAATTATCCCTTAAGGGCTTCATTGTATTAAACGAAACACGAAACTGTACCACCCTTTGGACCATAATAAAGTTATGAATATTTTCAAAATGTCGCCTGGGTTTTATATGAACAAAATCAAAAATCGCTCCTAAGGAGACTTATAAAAGTGAGCACATCAGACTTATGCCCTGCCTTGAACTTGGAAGACGCGACGTTGAGCACCGAGGATGTCATGGACATAAACGTGAACGCGCCGCCCTGGGCACACCCCAAAACTCTAATGCCTGAACCCTGAACCCAAGGTAAACCTAGCAAACACTAAACGAGGAACCCTACATTATGACTTAAACCTTTAAACCTCATCACCCTAAACCCTAAACCCTTGCAACCCTAAATCCATCTGAATCCTAAACCCTAAATCCTAAACCCTAAATCCTAAACCCTAAATCCTAAACCCTAAATCCTAAACCCTAAATCCTAAACCCTGAAACCCTAAATCCTAAACCCTAAACCCTAAATCCTAAACCCTAAATCCTAAACCCTAAATCCTAAACCCCGAAGCCGCGATCCGAACCTCTCCAAAACTCCCCGGGTTAGGGTATACCTGGACCCCAAAAGTATGTAGAATAATGGCCTTTTTTTAGGTTTGGGCCACTATTTTACGTACTTTTGGGGGTTCAGGTAGGGGTTTAGGGGTTAGAGTTTAAGGATTAGGGGATTGTGGGTTCCGGGGATATAGTTCTAAGGCTCGACAGAAAGGGCACCAACATCTTAACTTGTCGGTTCCATTCAGGGATCACATCAGGGTTTTGCGTTACATAGGGCTGGGGGCGAACTGTTCGGGTTCTGTACTGTAGATGCCCAGAGGTCCCAATACCCCTTAATTAAGGAGTATACCTCAAATCATAAGATTAAGGCCTCTATCCTTTAAGGTATATTCCTTAATTAAGGGCTATTGGGTTCTCCGGGTGGTGAGCTCAAGACTCAAGACAACTTTCGGGGCTTCGGGGCCTTGGTGTAGGGCTCGGGGTAGCCGCCGAAGTGAATACGAACAGCCGTTGAGGCTTAGACGTTTTCCGGGTTCGTGCTTAGGATCACGGAGGGGCCAGAACACCGTTTAGCAACCGCCTGCACGAGGGAACCATTCCGAAGTCAAAAAGAGCCGAGACAGAAACGACATCTCACAACTTATAGGGTTTATTTTAGGGTTCAAGGATAGAGCCCAACAGCCCGTCACCCCATGTCACCGAGAGCGGCGCAATGATCGCAAACACCGATGTGACGTAGTCATACCACCTATCAGTCAGCAAGACACGAACCCTCAATCATGAATCCTGTAGGTCGTAAACCTAGGTTGGCCCTTTAAAGCCTCTGAAAAACATTCTTAAATAGGCTACTGAGCCCAATAAGGGAAAATATAAAATGTCCCAAAGGCCTACAGAGAAACACCCAGCCCTACGCTCCAAACCCGCAAGCCTAGGAGCCTTCAAGCTTGTAACCTCAACATCGCCAAATGCAAAATCTGACCTATCTGAAGCTTGAAAGTAGCTTTGGGGGGTTCAAGGAAACGAAAGTTCAGGATTGAGGGTTCAAATCTTCGGGATTACATACTTTACTCGTTAGGATCGGGTAGCCCGCAACATGCTGCGATCCAGCATGGGTGCAGGGCGCAGCCCTACGTAAGGGTCCAAAGAACCTGGAGACTTGGGTTTCAATGGATATGTACAGTAGAAGCCTCAAAGTTGGAAACCCAACAGCCTCACTCCTCAAGAGTAATGTATAGGGATTCCCCGCACTATTTGTCCTTAACCGGTTTCAAACTTTATAGGGTTTACTGTATGTAATCCCCGGCTTGACAAACCTCGCCATGTTTCTCTCCGTGGGATGCTGACCTTAAGGGCCCTAACATCCAGTCAATCAGAGCCGCGCCCGATCCAGAAAGCTATATGCTTTTGTAGTGTAGGACAGGAAATGCGCGAAAAGGACCCTTGCCACCCCAAACCCTTGTATCAAGGCTTAAAGAACCGTTTAAACCAAAACTGACTCAAAACTCATCAAAACCCTTCACCCATATGAAAATTTACGAACCCGCAAAAAGACTCAAAAACTAGCTCAAAGGTCCTCGAAATCCCAGCCTCCGCCGCGACAAAGAGATCGTGACTTCCACCGGGGAGAGGTCGTAGGAAAACTTCGCCTGGGGCACCTCGGGGGATTTGAGGATTCCTTTCAAAGGGGGGTTCTTTCAGGGTTCCTTTAAAGGGGTCTATAAGGCTACTATATTTAAGGGCATATATGGGCATTCATAGGGTTTAGGATTCCTTTTAAAGGGGGTCCTTTCAGGGTTCCTTTAAAAGGGTCTTTAAGGCTACTATAAGGGATCTATAGTGTTGGTTTAGGATTCCTTTTAAAGGGGGTTCTTTCAGGGTTCCTTTGAAGGAAGGGATCTACAGTGTTGCTTAGTAGGGAATGGGGCACCTCGGGGGTTTGGGGTCTTGGGGGTTTAGGATTTGGGGCTCGGGGAGTTTAGGGTTTAGGGTTTGGGGTCTTGAGGATTTAAGCGATGTAGGTGGAGGTCAGGGTTTAGGGGTATAGGGTTTAGGGCTTCCTATTAGGGTTCCTTTAAACGGGTCTATAAGGGTTACTATAAGGGATCTATAAGGGTACTATAAGAATATAGGAACCTGAGTAAGGAACCTTGGGCCTTTATTGGGGTTCCTTTTGTGAATCCTAATGTTTGGGGGTTATAGAGCCAGGGTTTCTTCATCAGGTTCCTACATTAGGATTTGGGGTTTGGGGAGTTGCGGGCCCAAGAAGTTTAGGGTTTCTAAGGGTTTTGGGTTCGGGGCGTAGGGAGTTTAGGGTTTAGGCTTTTACCTTAATCACCCCTTTTCGAATGCATCACGACGAAAGAGCCTTAATGTTACAGGGTTTAGGGTTTAAGCGATTAGGGTTTGAGGGTTTAGGAGTTCAGGGTTTTGGATGGGGTTTGGGGGTGGGCTTAGGTAAATGACCCTTACCCGTAAGGGCCCTGTATCCTTATACTGATGGAACAAAATATATATGGTAACTGAACCTTACATCCTTCTAATTACGGTACATGTCGTCCTTCAGGGAAGCCTTCTCCGGCGAGTTTTGGATTGTAGCCGGGAAGGCTTTGGTGCTAGGGCTTGAATCTGGGAGTTCCGGAAATTCTACAGGGTCTCGTGCATTGGGCTGCTAGTGCTTGCAGGAACAAGTGCTATGGTCTTTTGTATTCCTCCTGCTGCCGACGACGACGAGAACGATAACAACAAGGTGCAACCGTCCTCATCGACTAATTGGTTGTCGACCGCCTCGAACCTGGCACAGGGTCCCGGATCTCGGGCTTTAGTCTTATGTACCTTAAGGACGAAATGAACCCTAAAAGGGTTTAAGGTTCATATACCATTATAGGGATTCATAGTATATGGGTATAGGGCCCCTACTTTTAAGGTTCATTTGGTCCTTCAGGTAGGGCTCACTTAAACTGCGCTGAGGGCCGTGCTGCATTTCGAGCCACGTTGCGCGCGCTCCACTGGTGCGTCTGCTGGTACATCTTGCTCTGGCAAGGTTCGGGCTAGCCTAGACCCTCAAATGCGGCAAAAGCCACCAGAAGCAGCTTCTGCACAGGGAATATCCCTGACGGTGGGTCGCAATCAAGACTAGAATACTTGTGCCCACAATAACTGAACGAGCCCTCCTAGAGTTTAACGCATTCAGTTAAATAATTGTTTGAGAGTCACTATGTCGGCGCCAGCAAATCCTGAACCCTAAGCTGTGGCAAAACAAAGTAGCTAAAGCCGCCTTCACCACATACTGCGAAACACACAATGACCATACGAGCAAACGAGCAAAGAGTTGCAACAGGAAGGAGCTCAACAGCGGGAACATGTGCTGACCGATTTTGGTTGGATTCTGCGCATAGGGTGTGATTGGCTAGTGTCGCGGAACTGTCAAACGCTTCAGCAAACTAAACACCAAATGGGAGTTTCCCAAAAATAGGGGACCCTAATATAGTGCCCTACTAAATAGTAGGATCCTTGTATAAGGACATCAAAATAAGGTACCCTACTTTTCGGAAACTCGCAAATCCTACAACTGCCCAACCCCAAACCATCAATCTGGCACCCTGGGCCCTAGAGCAGCAAAACCGTATACGCCCAACACCCCCAGATTCGCCAGTAGCCCAAAGGCTCCATGTACCTTCATAGTAGATACTTAAGCATTGAAGAGGTCCCTATATAGTTACTTTAAGGCCTAAGAATATACTACATGGGCACATGGAGCCTTAGGGTAGTTGCAAAACACCAAGGGCCCGGGTTGGGGCTCAGGGAGACCCGGGTGCTCGTTTTGAAAGGCTCCGAACCCTGGGGCGCCAAATAGCCCAAAGTAGGTATTATTTATAGACTTTAGGCCAAAGTAGGCAGTATTTGTATACTTGGAGCCCCAGGGGAAGGACAAGCCCCGACAGTTGCCAAAACTATATTTGGGGTGTAGGGTTTAGGGTTTAAGGTGTCTATTTCCACAAAACCGAGAAGCCGAAAAGCATTCACTAAAACCCTTGGCTATGGAGGTACCTTGTTTGTACTGATCCCCCAAAGAATAAATTCAACCCTCAACCCTACATATGTCAACCATGTCCCTAAAGGCAGGCTTCGTCTTCAATCAAAGCTGCGACTCGGCTTGCTAAAACTGAGGGCTTGGGGTTCCTTTAAATGGCTCCTCCCCATAAGGAGCGCGACGGGATGTGATTCAGAGGTTCTGGGGATATGTGGCTTCGAAGTTGAAGCTCAAGGGCTTATTCGGAACGCTTGGGGCTGAGAGCCAGATGTCTGAAGCCCCGGTTGGGGTTTACCCAGAGGCCCCATAGCAGTTCCTTTTTGGGATTCATATAAGGTAATCCCAAAAAGGAACTGCTATGGGGCCTCTGGGTAGGCAGTTTAGGGTTGATCCTCAACTTCGCTTGAATGCCCAATGCCCTCTTAAAGTAGGTTTAGGGTTTAGGGTTTAGGGTATCCCATCTGGACATGTGCGAAACAGTGGAACAAACACAAAACCAAGAGGCAACCCCAACCCCGAGCCCAATACTCCTCCCTCAGGAGGTACTCAAGTACTGATTGGTATATGTATATGTACACATATACATATACATATTTATCTACATATACATAGAGAGAGAGAGAGAGAGAGAGAGAGAGAGAGAGAGAGAGAGAGAGGGAGAAACAGAAGGCTGTCAAGTCCTGAATAGACAAAGTCGGGGTTTTGGTGGGTGTCTGTACGAGTCCGTACTGAAACTAAACAAGTGAATTCGTAGGAATGACATTTCTACATTTCTATATACATACTGTAGGGGCCGTAATTATTACCTATACTGTTTTGGGGGTTCCTTGTTGTAATTTATAGTATAGTGGGCCCCCAAACCCTGTTCTAGTTATTAAGGCCCCAATATTAGGCCCCTGGTATGAATCCTGCTCAAACAAAGCATGGGATGGCCGAACCGAACTTCGTGTGAACCACCTGAGGCACTTGCTCACTCGTGCAGTTTCCAAGGGAGCGGTTTCAGGTTTAGGGTTGGAGGTCAGGGCCAAACCTACCTTTGAGATCATGAAGGAGCTTCAGAATAAAAGGAAGCCTAATGTAGACCATGAATTTTAGCTCCCCTGCTGCGGGGGTACCCGTGATCTGAAGAACCCTGTATGGGAGTTTCCGAAATACAACTTAGAGTCCCTGTATTAGGGTCCCACTTTCGGAAGCTCTCATATAACAGACGGGCTATACTAGTAAGTAACGGCAAAAAGCCGAAGGCTACGTGCGTCTCTGTCTGTCGGAGGTGTAGGGCTTAACGGGTATCGGGCTGTCAGGATTCACATGACGAACGGGTTTTAGGTCTAGGGTCTACGGTTTATCTGGGGTTAGAGTAATGCGAGGTTTGTTGGATGCTTTGCCTGTGGATATCCTAAACCCTTAATTAAACCCCCTGAGTCCTAAATCCTAAGCCCTAAACTCTTAGACCCTGAAAACTAATCCTAATGAGCACCTAAACCCAAAACCGGGGCTTGGGGACCAAGCTCCACAAGGGACTCGTTTGGCATCTGCGTTTTCGCTGTCGACTTCCACGAGGTCAGGCTGTCAGCACCAAGCATTACGACGCAGCGTTGCCCCTCCAACCTCCGAGACCCAAGACCCCAAACCTACATCCTGACCCTGTAAACCCCCAGCCCCCCAAAATCCAGAAACCCTACACCCTAAACCCTAAAAACCAGCTGCCTTGAGGTAGTGGTGCGGCGCTTGATGAAACCTGGTCCACATGCTTTCGTTTCAAGAAAAACCTACATCATAAACTCCCGTAGGGCACTGTAAGTAAGGTTCCCTAACGGGGCCCCCTTTCAGGGTACTGAAATATATTACTGTATTAGGTTCTCTGATAGGCTCCCCTTACAGGGTACTGTAGGAGTCGCCAATAGGGTCTCCTTTGTATGGGCTTTGGTAAGCAGAATAGGGTCCTTAAGGGTTCCTTGTAAAGACATCTGTTAGCGTTACTGAAAGGTTCTGTTTCAAGGGAATTTCTTCAAGTCCTTAGTGAGTAGAATGACCAAACCAAGGAGGTACATTACACTGCCGTATGATCAAGAATCTTAAGGAATACTATACTAGTAACAGTTCGGGCCACTGTATTAAAACTTAAAACATCTCTAAGCCCCATACACCGCTAAACCATTATGCCTAGACACCAAATGCGAAGAGCTGCTCAGCAGCCGAACCCTTTCAGAATCCCTCTCCAAGGGCTTGTTGGACTTGATTGCTCCTCTTGCTCGAAAGAAAAAGCAATGAACCCTGAACCCTCAGGCCAAATCCGACCTCCAGCGAGACCATAAACCCTAAACCGAAAACGCTCAGGAAGCCGGAAACCAGGGCTTCTCCACGTCCAACAGGCAAGTAACAAAACGCCCCCGAAATCTCAACCCGAAGCACTGTAATCAAGACCATCCAAGCCTGAACCCCGAAACCCCAACCGAAGTATAGGGGCCTCAATAATCTCTTGGGGCCCAAAATACTATACGTGTATAATAAGAAACCCTTAAAATAGTACAGGTAATTCGTTAGACCCTTCTGGACACCCCTAACACTGAAGCCTGAACCGAAACTGTTCTCCCCCCCCCCCCCCGGGCCTCGGGACTGTGAAGCTGCGCCCTGCCAGAGGGTCTCTGTGCTTCGACAGCCTGGGAGGGGAGGAAACGAAACCTACTGTTGATGATTTATAAATCCTGCAATATCTTAAGGACCCTAAATCCTAAACTGTGGGTATTATGGCATATTCCTTATAATGGGTCATGCAGGATTTATATCATCAACCGTTTTTCATGGTTGGGATAGTAGATAGGATTAAAGATGATTGGGTTTAAGGACCCATAAAAAATGTAAAAGGTTACCCAACTATCTCAAAAACAACAGCTCCCAAAGGTTCCACAAGCACTTAATATGGGTTCCGACTACAGTCCGAATAAGGAAGCTGAGGAATCGATTCCGTAGTGTTTGTCTGGAACCCATATATAGCTGACATTGACCGTAATCCCAGTCCCAACGATAGGTCGAATTAGTCGGGTTGAAAACAATCTACAAAACCTCTTTGATGTAGCTGCTGTTTCGGCTGCCCTTCTTTGTCGCTTGAGATCGTGACCAGCAGCGTAGTCAATCAGAACCCGCAACCCTAAAACCTAGACGCCTGCAGCCCCTAAGCCCTAAACCGCTGTGCCGTAGCAAGGAGCCCGTTTCTCAAGCAGTTCGTGCAGTCTGTGGATTCTCGGACTAATTGCGTTGAGAAACTCCAAGAAGCTTGAAACGCGCATATCAGTAGGGCCCCCAAATAATCACATAACCGAAAATGAACATTTATGAAGCCCAATAAGGTAGGGACATCCCTATAATATAAAATGCTTACGTTCATGTCCTCTTGGGTCTCTAAGTAAGGATGGCTGATACGTATTCCTACTCGGATCCCCCTAACTTTACGTTAAGGGCATGAGGACAAGGATGATGTTAACTACCTGGGACGTAGGACTTTTTGGCTTCTAGCGTGGGGCCCACAGGGGCCCATGGTGTAGATTTTGCGTGCCTTAGGTTCAAGGAGCTTCAGGCTATAACCACATAACCCTAATCTCTATAAGCCTGAGCCCTATAAGCCTTAATATAATAAACCCTATAAGCCCTACACCCTATAAACCCTATAAGCCCTAAACCCCATAAACTCTATAAGCCCTAACAAACCCTATAAACCCTAAACCCTACAACTCTACTAAACCCTAACGAACTCTGTAAACCCTATAAACCCTAAACCCCAATGAAGCCTATACGCCCTAAACACATAACCCGAAACCCTGTAAGCCGAAACCCGAAGCGCAGCCGCAGCTCTGCCCAGGAAGAGCTTCATTCAGCCGGCACCGATCCCGGAATGGCTAGGGGTTTACGTTTTCATTAAGGAGTTTTAGGGTTTAGGGTTTAAAGTTCAAGGGCTCTGTTTTTTGTTTTAAAATCCTTTTTCCCAGAGGCTGCAGTCGGCGACTGCTAGGGTATAGGCCCCAGCGATTGAAAGTGTATCGGTGAATGGAGGGGGACTGGGCTCTCTGAAAACCCAAAATGTGCAAGACCGAGATGCTCAGTTGGCAGGAAGGCGCCGACAATCAGTGAAGAAACCTCAGGAGAGGGCTCTTGGGTCAGGGGCGACTACCTCAAGCTATGATAACCTATTCTTGTTGAAGGGTCTTCTATGCAAACAATATGGGATGAATGGGCGCCCGCCACAACAAAGCAGATTACGGAAAAATTGTATGGGTTTGCGCGAACTTCACGAGGTCTTCTAGGATGGGATGTGCATGGAACCTGCCGTCGGCTGTGTTGTTTTTGGGGCTTCAGGGTTCCGCCCACTTGAAGCATTTGGGGTCCGTGGTTATAATACCCGCGGCAAGTTGCGGGTGTGAGTGCTGCAACTTCAACAGGCTTTGCGGGGTCCTACAATATGAATAGTATCTAGTGTTAGAATAGTCATCATAATCATCATCATCCTCATCATGATTGTTATTCTTCTTGTTGAGAGTATTAGTGTAATAGCCATTCTCATTGCTGCGGTATTTCAATTATTCTGCAGTCGCTTATTCGCCGTGCCGTTATGATTCTAACTGCTAAACAAAGGATCCACAACGATAACCCTAAACCCTAAACCCTAGACCATTCAACTAGCCTTCAAGTGAAGCGAACCAACGAAGCTTCGCGAAACCCCGACTCACGAACTTAAACCTAGGGTACTGGCCCCATACAGTAACAGTCTATTATAGGGTTAGAAATATATGTTATAACTACTATACCACTATTACTTACTGAGTGTGGGAGTGCGCAACTTATACCCCCAAAAGGGTACTGGCCCCATACAGTAACAGTCAATTACTAGGATGCCCAGTAACCTAGGAATAAAAAAGGCTCCCTTTTTGGTATTGGGTAACTTTATAAGGACTACACAAAGGGAATTAGGGTACTACTGGGCATCCTAGTATACAAACCTATGGTATTGGCCCACAGTAACAGTTTATTAGAGGGCTACTATTTTGGGCTTTAAAGAGCTATGTTATAAATATTATACAACTGCTACTGAGTGTGGGAGTACCCAACTTATACCCCCAAACAAGTTTTCATACCCTAAGCCCTAAACCCTAAATACAAGAGGGAGCACATTAAAAATACCCTGACCCCGAATCTAAACTCCGAACAAACTCACGGGTGCGTTTAAACAAAAAACCGTAACCCTAAACCCTACACCCAAAGCCCTCCACCCCTAAACTTGGTTTAGGGTTTTAGGGATTAGGGTTTAACCCTGAACCCCAAACCCAAAACCCGAAAGGAAAGGCCGAGCTCAGCACGACGTTTCCGAAGACCAGGGAGTGCACAGTGTGAGACACCTTCAGTGTTTGTTTTAGGCTCCTTTTGTAGGGTTTAGGGTTTAGGGTGTGAGACACCTTTAGTGTTTGTTTTAGGCTCGTTTTGTAGGGCATCAGGGTTTAAGGTTTTGGGGTTTAGGGCTTACCCATAGGCCCCATAGTAGTTCTTGTTTGGGGGTTCATATATAGAATCCTATAAAGTAATCCCCAAAAGGAAAGTTTAGGAGTTAGGGGTTTAGTGTATAGCGGTGTATGATTTCGCCGTCGGCAAGGCCGAGCGCACGAGATCGGCGTAGGATTATAAGGGCTCCAGTTCTATCTAGGACGTGACGGGGTTTAGGGTTTGGGGTTTAGGGGTTCAGGGTTTAGGGGGGGTTTAGGGTAAAACCTCCCACGCCCAACATCCTCAAGACTCAAGATCGTACTTCAATTCTGAACAATACCGAAAACCCTAAAGGCACTAAGCACAACCTAAACCTAAAATCCTAAAACCGAAATCCTAAACCCTAAACCCTAAATCCTAAACCCTAAATCCTAAACCCAAAACCCTAAGCCCAAAACCCTAAATCCTAAACCCTACATCCTAAACCATAAATCCTAAACCCAAAACCCTAAACCCTGAGACAGGCGGCATTCGTGTACGCCAGATTCAAGGTCCGCTCCCTGTTGTGAGTCGCCTGCGAGCTCCCGAGTCCCCTAATTTCTGGATTAGGGTTTAGGGATTATTAGGGTTTAAGGATTAGGGTTTAAGGATTAGGGCTTAGGGCTCGGGGGTTAGGGTTTAGGGATCAGGGTTCCGGGTTTAGGGTTTAAGGTTTAGGGTTTGCTGCAAAATTGCGTAGCGGTAGTGTAACATGGATTTGAAGATTCATTAGCGGTTTTGTTGCTTGCGAATCGCAGCCATGGCCCGACTGTGGCGGGCCATCACATAACTCACCCGCCCCACGCCGTCCCAGGCGGCAAACCACCCAAACCTATTCCTGTTAGGGTTTGGGACCTAAACTCTGTTAGGTCCATGTTGGTTAACAACAACCACACAGGGCAGGGCAGGGCAGGGGAGGGCAGGCAGGGCCAGCACAGACAGCAAGGCAGAGGATTTGGTTTAGGGTATCCGGGAGAACGTGTCCCGGTACCGGGCCGAACGTGGGTGCTACCGTCCCCATGGCTGTGGAAAGGCGGGCGAGCGTGCTGGATTGACCTGCGCCACCGATGTCGAGGGGCTTAAGCGCCGCCCACCATCGAAGGTGGGCGGGGATTAGGGGATTGGGGTTTAGGTTTATATAAGGATTAGGGTTTAGGGATCAGGGTTTCGGGTTTAGGGTTTCGGGATTAGGGATCGGCTCTGTTGTGAGTAGACTGCGAGCTCCCGAGTCAGACGCTTCAAACCCGAATTTAGGGGCCTTATAATAATTAGAATAGGGTTCCTTCAAAGGGGTCTTTTTGGATTACTATACGGGTTCTATAAGGGCACTATTACATAGGGGCCTTAACAATCAGATCCGTCAAACCCCAAAGCAAAATCCGACTGAACCCTACTCAACCCCGGCTATAAGACCTCATCAAAGCCGCTAAGCCAACCCTATAAAACCCGACTCAACCCTACACGCAGCCCCATGAAACCCTACCACACACGAACATGAACTATGAAACTATGAAACCCAATGCCCTATGACCCAGACCCGCGGGAGGATCTAGAAAGTAGATCCCCGAATTTGGGGCCCTATACTACTATAGGGGTACATTATCGGAACCTCCATTAAGGGATCTACTTTTTGGATCCTCCCAGGGGTTTGGGGAGCCCCATGAAACCATATTGAGCCCCATAGGCCCAACTCTGTGCTGGACCATGCCTGAACCCTAAAGAACCTACGTGTTTAGGGCTCCTCCCTGTGATGTCTATGAGTTCTTAACAAAAGAGGTTACAGTAAACCCCATAAATTTGGAAACGGGATTGAAATCAAGTAGTGCTGGGATTCCTTAGACATTTCTCTGGTCTTAAGGATTGAGGCTATTGGGTTTCTAACTTTTGGGCTTCTACTATAGTTGGGGTCAGGGTAGACCCACATCGTATAACCTTACGCACTCCAAAGCCTTGAACCCGAAACCCCAAACCCTACTGTTCCGTGCTCGTCCCGGCGTTGAGTTTCGTCGAGTCCGGAGTGAGTGGGTTTGAGATTCTCTGGACTAGGGCTGCGTGTAGACAGGTTGACGCCACAACGAAATTATCGGAGCTGTCGTGGAGGGCGTCTTGCAAATAGAGATAGCTAGATAGATAGTTAGATAGTTAAGTTAGATGTACAAACACAAATAAATACATAAATACAAACATATATATATATATGTACATACACCTATGTACGCATATAGGTATATAACGGCATATACATACACACACACACACACACACGATAGACGGGTTTAGGGGTCAGGGTTGGGGCTTGCTTGTCTCCAAGTTTTGGCAACAATCAATGTTGAGGTGCAGACTTGCCGGGATAACAGCTCAGGGCATCAGCCGAAACTGTCGAAAACTTAAGACATGCGGTGCCACCCAGCTAGCCTCTCACGGGTTGAAGTTCTGCTTCTGAGATCGCCAAAACAACTCAACAAGTCTTTCATATAGGGGCCGTAAAAGTTGTTAGGATGGGGTTTTGGGCGCATTATGCTGTGGATACAATGGGGGGGGCCCATAGTTCGAACAGGGTTCCGAGCACATTACACCATAAATACAACAAGGAACCCCAAAATAGTATAGGTAGTTATTGAAGCCCCTATAGTATGTCAGGCCAACGTATGGCTTCTTCGGAAGCGTCGGCAATGGGTGCTTCCCTTGATGCCAGTGTCTGTGCTGGTCCGCGCTGGTCCATGTGACAAGATTACGACCGAAATGCCCTTGTATTGACCATGCTCACTGTGCTCGATTGTTTTACTTCCCCGCCGTCTCAAGAGCAAGCGGACAAATCGTGCCGAAGCTGGACGCCGTTGTCTACACCATTGGCATTCCTGCTGCAGTCTCAGTCAACAAAGAGATGATCTCGACACGACATTTGCCAGCAGCCCTCATCAAAGCTGTGTCCCCGTTCTTGTCTGCCACATCCTTATTGGCGCCAGCCTCCAGCAGCAACCGGACGATCTTCGCATGATTGCAAGTACCTATAGAAGATGCCTTCCACAAAGCTGTGCGACTGTCGTGGTCTGCTACATCCTTGTTGGCACCGGCCGCAAGCAGTAAGCGAACGGTCTCCACATGACCTGCAGAAGATGCCGTCCACAAAGCTGTACGACAGCCGTTGTCCACCACATCCTTGTTGGCACCGGCCTCCAGAAGCAAGCAGACGATCTCCACAAAACCTTCGTTGGAAGCACTTGCCAAAGCTGTGACACCATAGTTGTCTGCCACATCCGTGTTCGCACGGGCCTCCAGCAACAAGTGGACGATGACGGTATGACCTGCAGAGGATGCCTTCCACAAAGCCGTGCAACGATACTTATCTGGCATATTCTTGTCGGCACCTCCTTCCAGAAGCAAGCCGACGATCTCAACATGACCTGCATCAGATGCCCTTGCCAAGGCCGTGACACCCTGCATGTCGGCCACATCCCTGTTGGCACCAGTCTCCAACATCAAGCGGACAATCTGGACGTGACCTGCAGAACATGCCCTCCACAACGTTGTGCGACCGTTGCAGTCTGTCACATCCTTGCTGGGACCGGCCTCCATGAGCACGCGAGCGGTCTCGACATGACCGTGGTCAATAGCCCCCATCAAAGCACTGGCTGCCGCATCCCAGCTGGCGCCAGCCTCCAGCAGTGTCCGGACGGCCTCCGTATGACCGCCAGAAGATGCCAACCACAACGCTGTGTGGCCCTCGTTGTCTGGCACTTCCTTGTGGGCGTCGGCGTCCAGCATTAAGCGGACGACCTCGACATGACCTTTGACAGCTGCCGCGCACAAAGCACTGCGACCGTCTTTGTCTGCTACATCTTGTTTGGCATCGGCTTTGAGAAGCGACCGGACGATCTCCACATGACCTGCATCAGATGCCGTCCACAAAGCTGTGCGACAGCAGTTGTCTACGACTTCCTTGTTGGCACCGGCAGCCAACAGTAAGCGGACGATGTTCACATGACTTGCACAAGATGCTGTTAGCAAGGCGGTGCGATCGTCGTCGTCTGCAGCTTCCGTGTTGGCACCGGCCTCAAGCAGCAAGCGGACGATCTCGACGTAGCCGGCAGAAGATGCCAGCAACAAAGCTGCGCGGCCTCGTGAATCAAGCAAGTTCGGATCGCGGCGCTTGTACATCATCCACTCAACTTCGACAATGGAGCCACTCAAGGCTGCATACACCAGCTTGTTTGCTTGGTCTTGCGCGTTGTCAGCGTATGGCAGCAGGAGGAGATGAAGGTCCATGCACACACGCAGCTCCGCAGTATCCTTCAAGGTTTCGTCCTTGAGGAGAAGCCTCTGTCTGAACCGTGGCGGCATTCCGTGCCACTGGTTCAAATGCCGTTTCAAGCCCCGAACATCCTTCAGCTCCTTTAGCTCATGAGCAGATATGCATGCCACCATGTCTCCGGTGAGCATCATCCGGACTTGCAGCATCCCTAAACCCTAAACCCTAAACCTTAAACGGTGCTGCAAGCCTGAGGCGAGCCAACACCTGCCATCCTGTCTTGAGCCCACGTGTCACGCGTGGGACTGTAGGACTGGCTTCTTCCCTTTCATGATGTAGCAAGAGCCGGAGCGATATCCAGACAAACATTCATTTCCCCAAAGGCTCCATGTACCTTTATAGTAGATACTTAAGCCTTAAAGGGGTCCCTATATAGGTACTTTAAGCCCTAAGTACATACTCTATGGGCACATGGAGCCTTAGGGTTCCTTACATCTCAGGCCCCTCCCCTCATGGTCCATGAACGCTTCCGGCTTTGTTGTGGTTACGGTTGAGGGAGTCAGGGCTTCATAGGGTCAATTTTGCACTTCGGGCTTGGGGATACGGGGCTTGGCGATTCAGAGGCCGCAGCGGCTGTGGGCTTTTCGGCTCTTTCGATGGAAATGCGACGTTTCGTTTAGGGCTTGAGGGGTTTAGGGTCTAGGGAGACATACTGATTAGCTTCAAGATGCGTTAGCACATGCTTGACAGAAACGTTTGGGGTCTACCTGGACCCCCACAACTAGGAAAAAATTATGGCCCAACACCTAAAAAGGCTATTTTTCTGCATACTTTAGGTGTCCAGGTAGAGTTCTACCCCACGCACGCACCTGGAAGTGAAGTGTACCCGGAACTCGGGCCACCTCTACCACGCCCTGGCACTCTTGGGCTTGGGAACTTCGCATCTCGGGCTTAATGGGTTTGTTTGGGGATATGGAGTTTAGGGTTTGCCTTAACCCCGAGGAACCTACATTTTTAAGAACTTGTATAAAGAAATCATAATAAGGAATCCTAAAAATGTAGGTTATTCAGGGTTAAGGTGGAGTTTGGGGTTTAGGGGTTTAGGGTTTAGGGTTTGGGGTTTGGGATTTAGGGTAAGGGGAGTCGGTTATAGTCAACCCCAAAAGTTGGAAACCTGAGTATGCTGGGATTCCCTATGTACTACTCTGAAGGATTGAAGCTCTTGGGGTTCCAACTGTTGGGCTTCTACTGTAGCCGTGTAGCCGGGTCTGTTTGGGGTATGGGGCCCAAAGGGGGTCCCGGGTTTTCTTGAGTTTAGGTACCCCGGCTTCCGGGCTCCATGGCTCTTGAGTTACTATAGGGGCCTTACCCATAGGCTCCATAGTAGTTCCTTTTTGGGAGTACCTTATAGGATTCTAAAGATCAACCTCGAAAAGGAACTACTACTTATGGGGCCTGTGGGTAATAATTAGAGGAGGGTTTGGGGGTTACCCCAACGGCATCATGCTCGTGAAGTCACCGCCGAAAACGTTCTCCACCAAAACTCTCTTGGTTTTCCGCAGCCTGAGCTCCTGACAAAAGCTGATCATGTACCAGGCAGTGGGGACCCTGCGTTCCAAAATTTCTTGCCACGTTTGGGTTGTAATGCGGTCCGCTGACACTGCGAATTTCTGGAGTGCAGCATTGCTCTTGATTAATACGGGAGTTTCCGAAACTAGGAGACCCTAATATAGTACCCTAAATAGTAGCATCCGTATTATAACGACCCCAAAATAAGGACCCCCAATTTTCGGAAACTCCCAAATGAACCTCGAATACGCAGCCAGGCTTTCTCTCGCTCTGTGCCTCTTGTCGCCGGAGCGGGAGATCTCCGCTTGGAGGTTCATGGGTAATTAGTTATAAATAGGGTTAGAAGTCCCCAAAATTGGGTTATAAGTATAGTTACCCTACTTATAACCCTACTTATAACTACCCATGAACCTCCAACAAGCCGCTGCCACAGGGTGGTCCGACACCGCCAAAGCCGCCAGCTCCCATGCTGCTGAAGGACAAAATCCTGCATGATCCTAAGGACTCTAAACTCTGGGAACTATGGTATCTTCCTTGTAATGGGTAATGCAGGATTTTGCCCATCAGCAGGATTGGTGTGGAACACATCGTGCCACATGTCCTTGGTGGTGACATTCTCGGCGGTGTAGGAGGGTTCAGGCTTACGGTTTGGCATCCCAGGGCTTCAGGCTTCGCTCTAGCACGCGACACGAAGCCAGGACCTCAAGAGCTGATCGCGGAGCATTAAATCCCTAAAACTCCTAACTTTGAGCAGTAGATCCGAAATCTTCCAAACCCTAAGCCCTAAAGCCCCAAACCTTAAATGCCAAAACAAGCCCAAACACCCGATCCCAAGACAGAGCTGGCCCCAAATCTAACAACTGTAACCCTAAACCCTCAAATCCTGAACCCCAAAGCCGCACCGGGAACCCGAAAGTATGTGGATGAATAGCGTTGTTTATGGGGCGCTCAATTTACCCACTTTTGGTTCGGGTACACCCTGAACCCAAACGACATATGAAGGATTTCTGGAAGACCAGCTGAGGGCGCGGAGATGGGGGACATAGTGCCTGGAGGGGCTTGGGGTTCTATCAGGTAACTACACTGAAGTTAGAACCCTAGCAAAAACTATAATTTTAGCTGTTTCTTAGGGATTATAATAACCAAAAATTAAAAAAAAAATCCAAGTACCCCTAAGGTAAGAGGTAACAAGTACTTAAGGGTTTTTGGGGGGCTGGAGGGCTTCGAGTTTACGGTTTGGGGGGCTTAGGACGTAAGACTGCAAACGCCCAAACCCTAAACCCAGCTTGTAGGGCCTTAAAAAAGCACACAGCAAAAATAAGGATAGGGACATCCCATATACCCCCCCCGCTAAAACAAAGCCCAATAAGGCAGGGACATCCCTGTAAAATGCTTATGCTTATGTGTTTTTTGCGCCCGAAAGCTTAGCAGATACTTGCCAATCGCCTTGTAGAGCCATCTTCAGCAACGGTGTGAAGCCTATCTACCTGAACCCCACAACATCCACCTTTTCTACAGCTCCCTTCTTATTATGATCTCCCACATCTTTAGCCCTGAAGGGGAGGTGATTTCAGGTTAAGGTACGGTTGAGGAACCAAGGTTCTGCTTTGAAGTAGGGTTTAAGGTTCATGGATGGATCTGCACTTGGAAGGGCAGGGGACTTAGTAAGTCGTTTGTAAGTAGGGTTATAATTGGGGTAACTCCATTTAGGGTACTTATACTCTACTTATAACCTACTTACTAAGTCCCCTGCCCCTCCAAGCAGTAGTGGGAAAGAACACGCCTTGATCCGGCAGCTTTCCGCGAACATGTCGTGGTAGTGAGCACCTGGCGCCAGATTCAGCTTTGAAGGGGCTGTAGGGCTTTGGGCTGCAGTAAAATGTCGGAATTAAAAGACTAGGGTTTTAGCGCAAATAAGTATGCACATGTACGCATGCCGCTATATATATATATACATATATATATATATATATGTGTATATATATGTGTAAACGTCCGTGCATGTGTATAGTGTTATGTATATGTATACGTATATGTATATGTATACCTGTATGGTTTTGTGTGTGTACATACATACATACATACATGCATGCATGCATGCATGCATGCATGCATGCATGCATGCATGCATGCATACATACATACATGCATACATACGTACCTACCTACATACATACATACATACATATTATATATATGTATATATATATATACATACATACATACATACAGATATAGATAGACAAAAAATATATAGATAAATAGATAGTACCATTTATATATGTATGTTGATTTCCTTACTTATTCACTTCTGTAGTTAGTTGTTTGTTCGTACATATATGCATGTAATCTATATGTAGGTATATATACATGTTTCGGTACTTTACTATGCAGAACTTTGAGGCTATTCATACTAGAACTGTTGGTATTATCGTTCTTTGTAGTTATCATTTTTATCACTATGAGTATTGACACTATCTTCTTTCTTCTTCTTCAAAGTATTGCTATTAGTATTCCCAAAGGGCTTGGTCTGTAGGTTTTCAGCTTTGAGGGCTTCGAGTCTTTAGGGTTCCAGGGGACCAAATACGTTCTAGACTCTGTCTCTACAAGGGTAAAAGGATGGACCCTTAGTAAGGACCCTAGGTATATACCCTTCATATTAGCCATTATAGTGCCCATTACAGGGTAGGGGTCTCCATTAAGGGTCCCTCCTTTTCCCTTTTGAGCCTCGCAGAGCCCAGCCCAAAACCCCATAACAAAACGCTAATAAGGAGGGTTTAGGGTTGGGGTTTCCCCATAACCCTAAGCGCTCGTAAGTGGGCTTCAGGGTTTAGGCTTCCCCATAACCCTAGAGGCTAATAAGCAAGGCCCGGCGCTCTTGTAGATCAATGCACAAACACTACTTATTAGGATCATGGGACTTGGTCACTGGGGCTATAAATAAGGTAACTATACTTATAAGCACTTATAAGCCCACTCAAGGTGCTTATAACCTGACTTACTAAGCCCCATGGTCCTCCCCAAGTACTTGTGCTCGAGGCACATACAGTTCACAAGAGAGACACCTACTTGCGGCTACTTGGAGCCTTGCGGCTCGCAAAAAAGACACTGAGCAGAAGCTTGGGCTGAAAGGGCTTCTAAGACTCTTACTCATATTATGGCATGCAGGGGCCTACTATAGTGGCCTTAATAATTAGAATAGGGTTTTGGGGTCCATTATATTCCAATTATAATCAGGAACCCCCAAAATAGTAAAGGAAATTATTTAGGCTCCTACATTAAACCATAGGATTAGGGTTCTGGGGGTATACTGTGGACAGTTAACTAATAGATTGCCACTCCGACCGGTATCTGCTTTTGGGCTACTCCTACTTGTCGGGTATCGTGGGGAACTGAAGGTTAACCTTTTTGGTTATACAAAAATAAAGACTGTACTACCCAAAAAAGTTAAAGGTTACCTACTCTACTACTTTCCTATTTGTCCTGAAATCTGAACTGTATTGTGAAATTCTTGTTTGACACCACAACCCCAAAGCTCTGAAAACTATGCTTGTTGGTTGGTGGCTTAGGCTCTCAGGGTGTTCGGGTGCAGGTTTACAGACATAGCTGGGAGCTTCTGTGCACTGTTCAAACTCTGCACCCGAAACCCTACCACCCCGAGAATCCTAAACCTACATTGCACCCAAACCCCGAGTTTACTGAATCACCTTAAACCCACAAACCTCGACAGCCTAGAACCCCGGTAGCTTTCAAACGCTCCTGTTTTGGTCCTGGGTAGTTGTAGAAGGAGCCTGAGACATCAACAAAGCTGAAAACGGCCCATTGGGAGACCTGCCTGTGTGAATGTGACGCTTCCTCACTTCCTCCTTGGCAAAGCTGACCAGGGCCTCGGCATTTCGATTGGGCCAGGACTCCAAGCCGCAGATATAGGGGCCTTAATCATTTGATTAGGGTGTTGGTGTATATGATGGGTAGAGTTTGGGTACGGCCCCCACTCGGTAATAGTTGAATAATATTCATAGTATAGATATATGAGGACCTTAATAGTAGCCCTACTATAGACTCTTACCTTAAGGGGGCAGTACCTAAGGTATAGTTATTATAAAAGAGAACCCTAAGGCCCTCAGGAATAGTGTTGTTAAATTCTCAGGCTGCGGTAATCCCTGAGCCGAGAATAATGGTAGAAGGGCCTTAAGAATCCATGTAAACAAGGATTTTGGGATGTGTGGTAACTATACTATAGTAATCATTGGGGGTTGTGTGGAGGGGATGCTCGTCTGAACGATTCAGGTCCCTTTCGTCAGCCCCTAAACCGTTACCCCCAGAATAACTTAAACACTAAACAATTATAAACCTTAAACCCTTATCCCCAAGCTCAAGCCGCGACAATGCGAAAAAACCATAAACCATAATTCCAAACGCCCGAACCCTAAAGACTATGAACCTCAAACCCTTACCCCTAAGCTGAAGCCACCCTAAAGCCTAAACTGTTGTGCCCAGAGACTCCAATATCCCTTAATTAAGGAATAGACCTCAAATCATATAAGGGATCCTACCATAATTGAAGGAGTATTCCTCTTACTTAAGGTATATTGGAGTCTCTGGGGTGGGCCGGGACCCCGTGCGTCCATCTGCCGCTGTCCGCGGAAGTCGGCCTGGCATCGGCTGTTTTGGGGTTTTCAAATGGGAGTTTTCGAAAATTTCCGAGGGTTCCTTTAAAGGGATCCTTTAAGGGTTCCTTTCAAGGGGCCTATAAGGGGGTTGAGGGTTTCGGAGTTTCCGAAACTTTCCTAGGGTTCCTTTAAAGGGGGTCTATGAGGGTTCTATAGAGGGTTTAGGGTTTAGGAGTTTCCGAAAATTGGGGGTACCTAATCTTGGGGCCCTTATACTAGGATCCTACTATTTCGGGTACTATACTAGGGTCCCCTATTTTTTGGAAACTCCAAAATGTTTTCAAGACCGTTGGTACGAGCCTTAGGCTTGAGGGTTTCACGGGATCCCTGAACCCTGAATCCTGAACGGTTGTAGTTCTGCGGCCTTTAAACAAGGGATTATGAATACAGTAAACCCCATAAAGTTGGAAACCGGATTAAGGCCAAGTAGTGCTGGGATTCCCTATGCATTACTCTTAAGGATTGAGGCTATGGGGTTTCCAACCTTTGGGCTTCTACTGTAGGTACTTCGAAAGGAACCATAAGGGAACTTGAAAGATTCCCCAAATGCCACCCAGTCGAGGGCTTCGTCTTTACCTTAACCCTGAAAAACCTAGCTTTTTCGGATTCCTTGTTATGATTTCCATAAAAACAACCTTATATAAGTCTGTTATTCCGGGTTAAGGTAGGGCTTAGTTAGGATTCGTTTTTGCAATTTCGGGTTGTAGCCTACCTGTGGGCAGCAATCTCTTGCCGTTTCAGTTCTTTTGTGCCCGGTTTAGGGTTTAGGGTTGAGGGCCCAGAGGTAAAGTTCATGACCTACCACTTTGTCGGGTGTGGCAGCTGCGCATGAACATCCACCGACACATGTTCTGGCCGTGGTCCAAAAGCAGCCGATTAGGGCCTGTACCGGTCCCTTGCCTCGAACCAAAGAACCCCCATGGATCCCTTCTCACCTTACCGAACTAAACCCCAAACCCAAAACCTTCAACCCTTGCCCTTACCCCTAAACCCCGAAACCCCTATCTGAGTTGTCCATTAAGCCCTTTGAAAACTATTTACTATTATGGTTCTCTATACAATAGTAGGGGACATGAAAAAAGATCCCAAAGGACAACCCGGCTGTGGTCTTCGCAGAATTTAGGGTTTCGCTGGGCTGGGACCCGCGGTCGGAACGGCGTTCACGGGACGTGCGACAAGCCAGCAGCACCCAGTTCTTGCCAGCGCCTCCTCGACGATAGAGCCTTCGGGCTCAGGGTTCATTGGATTTAGGAAGCAGAACACAGGAGTGATAAGTGAATACCTCACTGGAAGTGGCAATTTTTCGGGGCCTTAATGATTAGAACGGGGTCAACCCTATTCTATTTATTGAGCCTTAATAATTAGAGACGGACACATCAGAATGACCGTCTCCACCGCAGGTGTCTGCTCTGCACTCGTGGTTACAGAACCCGGGAACACCAGGGCATTCTTCACGCGCTGCTCTTGTCTCTATTACTATACCTGGGGGGACATACCCCCTAGGTTTTATGGCTAGGACCTGCTGTACAAAACGTAGGTACCCTGAAGGGTGTAGTTCTGCCATGATCACAACGACGCCGGCTCCACTTCCTATGCTCCTGCTACTGCAACGCTGTACAGTGAAGATGCGACTACTGCTGATATGCTAGCAGCGATCTTACCGGTTAGTTGCTAGCATCTCGTGTGACGACGTTGACCACATCGGGAAACCCTGAACCCCAAACCCTGCCGCTAAACGGTATTTACCCGGGGAAGCCATGATTCCTTGAGGCTTGCTAGCATCTCGTGTGACGACGTTGACCACATCGGGCACTAAATCCCAAACCCCTAAACCCTAAATCCGAAACCCCAAACCCTGAACCCCAAACCCTGCCGCTAAACGGTATTTAACCGGGGAAGCCATGATTCCTTGAGGCTTCTCGGCCTGACCGTGGGAAACGCTTGAACCTTCTGCTGCTGACATGTCTCCTGAACCAAGGGTTGTGGGTTTGGGAGTGTTTAGTGATTTTGCTTCGGGCAAGGGTCAGAGTGCAGAGAGTTTAGGTGTTCGCGAGATTTGGGAGGGGGGGGGGGGGGGTTGAACCTGAACGTGGAGGATCTAGGGAGCATATAAGTTTCGGAAAGGCAGTCAAGGTTCACAACAGATGATCGGGGGGCTTTTTGTCAGTTTGCAGCGCAGATCAGGAACCCCGGAACGGTGCCACGGGCTTTGCACTGAACGCTTTTCAATAGCGACACTCAGAGCTCCCCAAGACTCAATACCGTGCCTATAATAACATGGCAGACTTACCCTTAAGAACATAGGTCGCTTGGGCCACAAGCAAATTCCAGCGTTTCAAGACCTCATCTTCATACTCATAATCATCGACTGCATCTCGTCATTGTTGTTGTCATCGCCATCACAACTATCTTCATCACCATCGGCGCCATCGCCACCATCATCGTCGTGGTCATCAGCACCACCACCATCGTCACCATCAGCATCACCATCATCATCGTCACCATTATGACCATCTCCACCATCATCATCATCATCATCATCATCATCATCATCATCATCCTCATCGTCATCATCATCAATCACCATCATCATTATCATCATCATCACATCCACCTTGCGCTCGTTAACTTGACGACTATGGTTCATACCTCGGAAGCATCAGCAGGGGCTGGAACTGCAGCCGCAGTATATTCTAGCGTACAGGGTCCCGCACAAGACTCCCAGCAAACGATGTTTATCAAATGTCATAAGAATGGCCTGAAACAGGAAAATAATTCAGCACAGCCCCGGCTCTAAGCCGGAACCTCAGGTCCCGAAATAAAGAACGAAAGCAAAACCTCATCTTAGGTCGTAAAAAACGTTTCAAAACAAACATCCACTCCAAGCCCTGTACCTCTAAACCCCAAACCGAGCATCCATTAAACCTAAACCCATCGTCCCGCGGCAACGCTCAACAACCCCCCCCAAAAATCGGAGCATCGAAGCCGCAATACCAAAACTTTAAACCCCAAAACGCCAAAGCCCAGGAGCCTTCCCAGATTTCGAACCCCCGGGCTCCAAATAGCCCAAAGTAGGTATTGCTTGTAGACTTTAGGCCCCAAAGTAGGTACTATTTGCTAGACCTAAGAGTAACCTAGGAATAAAAAGGGTGCCCTTTTTGGTTTAAAGGGGCTTATAAGGGAACCTGAACCCTTAAAAAGGGAATAAGGGCCTACTCTAGGTCCTAGGTAGGTACTATTTGTATACTTGGAGCCCCAGATCCCGAAGTCTCAGACCCAAACATCAAGGCGAGGAGGCTAAAACCCAAATGAAACTGTATTCTCTCGCGTACTTGTCCACTATCTTTTGGGGCTCGAGGTTAAACCTTTCGGATTGTAGATTTTGTATCACAACCTTCCAAAACCACTGAATTGAGGAATATACCTTAAATTTATACTAGGATCCGTAATATGATTTGCGGGATATTCCTTAATTGAGGGATTTTGGAAGATCTAGGTATAGTGCCTCCACATAGGTTAAAGGGTTACCTCTTCTACTACTAATCATGCTCTCCTCAAAGTCAACGCAGTTGATCTTCAACGCACGGACATTTGCTCGGACGCCGTCTGCATCCACCACCGGGTCCTTCAACAGAGGCTGCCAGAGACTGAAAAAAGAATTGAAACATACGCACAACCTTAAAGCTGTAGCTTTGATCAACAGCAAAGGGCTGTATACCTTCAATCATGTTAGGGGATCTTACTACAAGTTAAGGTATGTTCCTTAACTAAGGGACTAGACTAGACGCAAGAGTAACCTAGCAAGAAAAAGGAATGCCCTTTGTGGGTTAAAGGATGTTATAAGAGAACCCAAACCCTAGAGAAGGGGGTCCTAGATTCCTAGATAAACACAACCTTAAAGCTTTAGCTTTAGTCAACAGAAAATGGCTGCTGGGGTTTGTTGCAGTATGATTCCACTAGACCGACGGAATAGCATTGTGAAACACATTGTTCATTATTCAGGCTTCTGTATGGTAGAAAGTCTTCGGGGCTGAGAAAGTTTAATCTTTTCACGTATGATCGTATTAAACATTAAATAGGGTTTAGGGTTTAGGGTTTATTTAGGATTTAGGGTTTAGGGTTTTAAGGGTTATATAGCTACCCAGCTAGGAATCTAGGTTTGGGAGTCTCTGGGATGCTGCGCCCTCTGCTTTGTAAGGCTTTAGGGTTTCAGAAGGGGAATCAGACGTGTTTCGAAAGGGCGTTACGAGGGTTCTCGAGGATGAGGGTTCTATTGCTGTTGAAAATTTCCACCTCGCAAGTTTCGCGTGACACGAGGCATGCTGTAGCGGCTGAGTGGTTTGGCAGGCTTTGGTGCAGCAGCGTTCTTGGAGGCCTGGCATTTCCAAGGCACAACCAGGTATGAGTCCGACACGAAACAGCCCATCAGGGACGCGCGCAGAACATCTGATGAACCCTCAACCTGTGCCGGAAGACCAAAGCCTCAGACGCAGAGACTCCAATCTCCCTTAATTATGGAATATGCCTCAACTTATAGCAGATTCCGTAATGTGGCTTAAGGTATATATAGTTCTTAACTCTGGGAAATTATTGGAGTCTCTGGGGACCCTGAACCCTAAACCCTATAGATCGCTGATAGACCCCTTAAAGGAACCTTTAAGGATTCCGCAGAGGAGTCCGAGGCAGACCCTGAACCCTGTAGATCCCGTTTAGAAACCCTAAGCCCTAAACCCTGAACCCCTAAATAAACCCCTAAACCCTAAGCCCTAAACCCTAAACCCCTAAACCCTATAAACCCCAAAACCAAGGCCAGCACTTGCTCGGAGTTCAGCTGCTTCTCGAACCTCGGTGGCTGCAGGAAAGAAGACGTAGACCCCAAGATCCCTAGGCGTCCTTAAAAGGCATACCGAGGTTTCCTTTAAGGGATCTTATGAGGGATCTATAGGGTTCAGGGGACTCCAATATATCCCTTAACTTAGGAAGATACCTTCAATCATAACAGGGGGATCCTACTATACTTTACGGTGTCTTCCTGAAATAAGGGATATTGGAGTCTCTGAAACACCCTTGTCCTTTTAGAAGTAATAGACAGAGCCCTATACCTATACCTATATCCCTTATTAGTAGGAATTATTTAAGAAGGTCTACTAGCCGGTCTGTTTATTCTTTTGGGGGAACCATGAAAAAGGACAAGGCCGCTCTGAAAAGGCGGAGCTCCTAAACCCTACCTAGGGATGTTAAAAGGGTTTACGGCTTGGCGGTTTAGGGTTTAGGGTTTTGGAGTTTAGGTGTTCGGGCCACGGGGTTGGGGATCTAGGGTTGCGGTGTTTCGGTTGAGGATTTGGGGATTTAGGGCTACAGCTCTTCGGGTGTGGACTTAGTTGGGGGGTTCTAGGGCTTTTCTAACTAAGCCTCTGCAGCTTCACAGGTGTTAGCTTGTGCTTGAGGTGTTGGGTTGACGGTTTGCGGTTTAATTCTTTAAGTTGTTCAAAAGCTAAGGCTTTCTAGGACTGGGTGTCTTTATGATACGGATTCAACTACTTTTGGTTTGCAAGTCCTCTCCTCTTGGTAAACTCCTACGGATGCTTCTTCCAAGACGGGCATTCCAGACGTTTGGGCAAAGAACTTGAAATCGATATCCCCCTCCCCTGCGCGGCTGAGAGAACTCCTCCAAGTCAACATTCATGACTACTCCAAGAAACCCCCTACTTGTGGGGTATTATGGGGAACTAAACGTTAACCTTTTTGGTTACATGGGGATTATATAGGGACAATACTACCCAAAAATGGTTAAAGGTTACCTACGCTACTTCAAGGAACCCGGAACGACCCCGAGTCTCTATGCCCTTGAGCTAGACGCGGCACACGACTCAAACTTATCATTGAAGTTGCAGCATGTACTATAGAAGCCTGAATAGTTACAAATATCGTTCCTTGGGGGCACTGCATTACATTCATACGCTGGTTACCCCGAAACCTTCTGAAACATTGGGGCTCCTACATTACCAGCAACCCCTACACCAAGACCCGAAGACCCGGTCGCCGTTGGAGTTGCGTGTATCGTGGAAATTTCGAGGGCATCGGCTAGGGTTTAGGGATGGTTTAGAGGATTCATGTGAAGCTTGACATGATGTCCCGGGAGATGTGAAACAGACTTAAAGCGTTCAAGTAGAAGAGGGCTGAAAGGTAACATCGGAGACCCTCCGGACATGCTGGGCAGCGAAAGCTCAGGTTCTACACCCCGAGACCCCTATCCTATTTTTGTAGGGAATATGGGAGTCTGGGCAAACTGTCATGAAACCTAAACCTCCCGAACACCCAAAAAAGCTCGCATGAACCCCGAGCCCCAAGCACGAAAGAACCCCCCAACCCCAAAACCCTACACACCCTAAAGTGCCAAAGCAGCACGCCCCAAACCCTAAAACCAGAAGACCCTCCAACCAAATGCTGAAATTGAATATATCCATGTTTCCGAGAACCACCAATCCAGCAAAGGGGGCTCTGACAAATACTTGTAGGCTTCGCCAGGGCCTAGATTTCAGACAGTTTCGGGGTGGATCTGCGGAACCCTAGGGTCACATCATAAACACGATCCTGCACCGACAAAGGCTGAGCTCGCCACTGATCCCACGTTGGGCCAAACATCCTACGCGGTTGGATGTGGCATTTGTTCAACTTTGGGGCACTCGACTCGGATGTTCGAGTCTTTAAGGGGCTCCAAGCTATGTTGGCTTCTGGCCGTGGAGCTTGATTCGCGCGGCTCGGCAGGGATAAGGGATCGGTTCAAATCTTCTAGAGATTGTGTTCTTACACTTTCCCAGTGTTCAGGAGGTCCTACATGAAACCAGGAGGCGCATCAGTAGAGATCCCCTGTGTCATCACTGCCAAACCGTAAGTGGTAGAAGTACCAACTAGCCGAATGCTTCACTTTAGTGCAGCAGTAGCTGCGGCATAAGCTGGAGGGGAGTGAATTTTTTTAGGAACCCAGAAAAGGACCTAAAGACAAACCCTAAGGTTGGGATATCCCAGAATCCCCTCCTTGATTAAGCCAATAAGATAGGGACATCTATGTTTGGGTGCTTCTTTGTCTCCTGATGTATGATTCCCCAAGCGGGAAGTCCCAGGTTTGTACCGCGGGGGTAGACGATGATTAGGACGGGTAGTTTCCAAGGGTAAAAGGAGGGACCCTCAAGAAGGACCCCTAGGTATATACCCTTAATATAGCTATTATTATATACCCATGATATAGCCCATTATAGGGTAGGGGTTCCCATGAAGGGTCCCTCCTTTTCCCCTTTGATATAGTTTGTACCCTTGCACAACATTATAGCCGGAGCCCGCAGCGAAGCTCGAATGCAAGTGGTTCCGAGACAAGGTTTCGTTTTTGGGGGGGGGTCTGGGGTTCTACAAAGCTTCGAGATGGATGTAGGATTCAGCGTTCAGGACTTCGGACTTGTGAGGAGTGTTGGATTTCGGGTTTAGGGTGTCGGATTGGGAATTAGGGTGCTTCAAGCATCCACTCTGGCACACGCAAGTATGGAATTCAGTACAACATCAATACAACTAACAGTACTGATTGGAAGCATATCGGAAATTCTGACGAGAACGGCGACAACGAGGTCTTTGGTTGGTGAAAAAGTATCGTTAAGGCTAACGCTCAACATCGCTCAGCAAACAAATCCGTGCACGAACAGCTCTACATCCTTGGGTGGACCATCCTTGGACCTCCATGCAAAGATTCGGGGCCTGCAATGAGGACACCAGTCCGCGTAGAAGTTGACCTGATGGCATCATTCCCTATAGACCCTATAAACTCTAAACCCAAACCCCACCGTCCAAAAACATGCGGGTGCTTTTTCCGGACATTGGGCGGCACATCTCTCTTTTACAATGCCCAAAAAAAATCAAAGCTTGAACGCTGGTCATCTAAACTGCTTAAAGCACACCCAGGCCCCAACACAGAACATCCGCAAACTCCAACACCTGTGATCTCAACTGCCAAATCCCGAGTTCGGCCATGCGTCGAACGTGTAGTCGTGGGCGTCCACGACCTTGATGATACTTGGGTTTACGGTTTAGGGCTTAGGGTCTTGACGGCCTCGAACTTGTGGTGGTTGGATGGGTAGGTTCCAAGACTTCAGTTTTGGCTTTGCGCAAGTGAGGCTGGAGATCAATGTACTACAAAAGCTCCACCGACTGAGATGATTTCAAGGAGAACACTAGCAAGTACCAACGACGCCCAACGCGAAGGTGGAAATAGCATCAATGCCAGCGCCCTAAGGTCCAATCTTTTTCCACGTGCAAGACCGCGCACAAGCTTCCCTGAGCCGGACAAACCCTGGCAGCTACAGCGGAGCAGCACGATAGATCCCCGAGCGTAAGCAATGCGGCTAAAGTGCAGACCTTCAAGGATATGCCGCCACATATTCGAATCCGAATTAAATTCGGCACTTAATCATACAGATAGCATTAGATACATAGTGGAAAACTTCCTGATGATCGGCGTACTCCCACCAGTTTTGGTAGTATTATATCACTATATCCCACATAAAAATCTTTACATCCGGATCTTTCGAAAACCGAAGGACCGGACTCTAGGGCTCGTGGACCTGAGGCACTGACAATCAATAACTAGTTTGAGGTTTACAAGCCTTCTACCTGGGACACATGGGGGGTTTCCGAAAATCAGGGGTACCTTTTTGGGAAATAGGGATCCTGCTACTTAGGGTACTATACTTGGGTCCCCTATTTTCGGGAACTCTAAACCCTAAACCCTTTATAGAACCCTTATAGATCCCTTTAAGGAACTCTTAAAGGATCCTGCTACTTAGGGTACTATATTTGGGTCCCCTATTTGGGAAACCCCCCAGTCTTGTAACTGCGACACATGAGCTCCCAACCTTGACCCCCCCTCTCTCAAGAAAAGACTTGGCCCCCCCCCACTCTACCTATGGTCTCCGCTGGTTGGTTGAACCAGTTCTTTATGCAGGATCCTAGAAGGTAACTCCAAAAAACGAAACTATAATGGAGACTATAGGTAAAGCTATGAACCACTAAATTCCAAGGGTAAATGGAGGGACCCTTAATAAGGGCCATAGCTATTATATACCCATCATATGGCTAGGGGTCCCCATTAAGGGTCCCTCCTTTTCCCCCTTGATAAATCGTCGAACGTTCTGAAAGAAGCTATGCTCGGCGAAAGAGCCGACTCGAAGTTGTCGTGCTTGAACTGATCGCTGGAGGAACTCCTGTGGACAGCAGTTTGAGCGCACGTGGAGGATCTTTAGGGTTTAGAGTTTAGGGTTTTGGGTTTTGGGGTTTAGGGTTTAGGGTCTACTTGGAGGATCATGAGACTTAGTAAGTCAGGTTATAAGTACCTTAAGTGGGCATATAAGTGCTTATGACTTAATTATAAAGTATAGTTACCTTATTGATAGTGCTTATGACTTATAAGTATAGTTACCTCATTTATAACCGGGGTTACTAAGTCCCAGGGTCCTTTAAGCACACGGCTGGCGATTTCAGGTTCTGGAGTTCGGGTTGGCTAGACCCAAGAGTAGCCTAGGATCCATAAGGGCTCCTTAAAGGGATCCATAAGGGCTCCTTCAAGGGATCTACAAGGGTTCTAGGGCATCTAGACCCAAGAGTAACCTAGGAATAAAAAGGGTGCCCTTTTTGGTGTTAAAGGGTGCTATAGGAGAACCTATGCCCTAAAAAAGGGAATAAGGGCCTACTCTGGGTCCTAGTTGAATATCTACGGCTCAAGGTGGCCTTATTTGGGTTTAGGTTAGAAGCTGCCCCCACCCTGTAGTAGTCACTATAAGGATTATATTAGGGCCCTCTTATATTCCGATTATACCACTATTCCAGGGTGGGGGCCCCTTCTAAGGTTTAGGGCTCCAAGCATGAAAGACTGAAGCCCGATCCTTAAGCCTCAAATCACAAGACTTGGCTCCCAGGCCGCAGCCGTAGCCGTAGTGGCAGTGGCAGCTACCAGAATCAGCAGTAGCAGCTGTAGCTGTTTAGGGTTTAGGGTTTAGGGTTCAGGATTTAGGCTTTAGGGTAGGGTTTAGGGTTTAGGGTTTAGGGTTTAGGGTTTAGGGTAGGGTTTAGGGTTTAGGGTTTAGGAGCAGGAGTAGTGGCAATCGCAGCAGCAGCAGTGGCGGTAGCAGGAGCAGAAGTAGGAGTAGGAGTGATGACCCTCCCACAATTCTCAGCGCGCAGCCCCCAAAGGGGCTCGGGCATAGATCGAACTGCACTCTAAACCCCAAACTCACGGCACATAGAAGAACGGGTGGACACGCCGAAAGTCGACGAAAGACCCACCCCGAGAAAAACGAAGCCCCTAATTATCTGCCATAAACCACAACATAAACTCAAACTTGAAACCGCCAAGCCTGAAACTTCTAAACTCTGTACTTCATACACAGACAAATAGACAGACAGACAGACAGACAGACAGACAGACAGACAGACGGCCAGTCATACACAGAGACGTACACAGCCGGGCAGGCAGACAGAAAGCCAGACAAGACAGACAAGCAGACAGCCAGACAGCCAAACAGACAGACAGACAGACAGACAGACAGACAGACAGACAGGCAGGCAGGCAGGCAGGCAAGCAGACAGACAGCCGAAACAACACCAAAAGGAAAATGGCTGAGGGCCGAGCCAGTCCGAGTCCAACTCAGCTTTGTCCTCTGCAGACAGCGTCCTTCGCTTAAAGAGGACGGGAACTGTGGGGCTTTACGACTCTACGGGTTCTACGGAGTGTCAGAGGGTTCAGAGGGTTTTCTAAGGTTTTGTGCTGACATATGGCTGTAGGAGCTCAACTGAAGCTTTAGAGGCTTTGCACCGCCGCATAGAGTATACAGAGCTCATAAGCGGTTTTAACAGTTTAGCGGTTTAGGGAATTAGGACCCTAGCTGATCCTACAGGATCACTCAAAACCCGCTAGCTTTCTTCGGTTGTGCACCCTTTCCGAAAGGCTAGGGGCGTAAATAAATGACAGGCCTGTGTCAACAATACCTGAACCGCAAACCTGCGCTCGCTTCCCACTTCCCAACCTCCAAGCCCCACCTCTCGCCTCGCAGAACCGCAAGTCTGTCTGTATGCATGTACAGGGAACTCCAGAAAGTTGGAATATGGTTTCAGGGTAGGATACCCTATAATTTACCATAAAAGGGTTAGGATAATTATATTCCAACTTTCTGGCTTTTACCTTAATGTGATGCAAGGAAACGTCTTAGGGTCTTGCAAACATATCAGGTGCTTGCTTACAACTGCAACAGTTGTAGTACGGTTCCCGTGTATAACCTCGACAAGTTTCAACCGCGATAGCCAGCAATAGTATGCCCTGACGTCCAACACTTTTTAGGCTGTAGGCTCCAGTTACCTAGATAGTAGGTTACTAACCATGAGTTATGTACCCCAGTAACCCACTATTTGGGCAACTGGAGCCCTAGGGAACACCATCATACCATAATCCTACTTGTCGGGTACCGTGGGGAACTAAAGGTTAACTTTCTGGTCATATATATATATATATACATATATATATATACATATAAATATATCTATATATATATATAGGGATTATATGGGGACTATACTACCCAAAAAAGGCTGAAGGTTCCCTGCTCGACTACTAGGTAATTGCCCTCGTCTAAACATTCCGACCCTGGCTCTGAAACCTACAAAATCAGGACAATCCCACTTGGAGTATCATGGGACTTAGTAAGTCAGGTTTAGGGCTCCTTTTAATAAGGGTACTATAGGGTTCTAGTACAGGGTTCCTTAAAGGGATCTACAGGGGTTCTATAACTTAGTAAGTCAGGTTATAAGTACCTTAAGTGGGCTAATAAGTGCTTATAAGTATAGTCACCAAGTTTATAAACCAAGTAACTAAGTCCCATGATCCTTTAAGCACAGACCCCGAAGGGCCCACAAACCTCAGACGACCCTGCAAATCCCCTTTAGAGCCTTTATGGGAGTTTCCAAAAATGTGGTGTACCTTCTTTTGGGGCCCTTATAATACAAGGATCCTACTATGTAGGGTGCTATGTTAGGGTCCCCTATTTCGGCAACCCCCTCATAAGTACTGAGCTCCAGACTTGTCAGAGAAGTCGAGCTCTAGAAGCTCATCGTCGCTGTACGCGTGCCCTTTGTCGTTCCTGGGGCTGTCACATAGGGGCCTTGATCAAGGTAAAATCCAGAGAGTTGGAATATGATTTCAGGGTAGGATACCTTATAATTTACCATACAAGGTTTAGGATCATCATATTCCAACTTTCTGGCTTTTACTTTAAGGGTATATAGTAGAAGCCAGAAAGTTGGAACATCATTGCCCTCAGGCCCCCTAAGGTAAAGCACAGAAAGTCCTAGCACTAATCATCCTTAATCTATGTTCCAACTTTCCGGGGTTCACTATAGTGAACCCCAGAAAGTTGGAACATGGATTTAGGAGGATCGGTGCTAGGATTCCCTATACTTTGCTTTAAGGGCATGAGGCTAATTATGTTCCAACTTTCTGGCTTCCACTGTATAGTCCCTAAACCCTACATCCTTCCAGCCCGGAACATCTCACGACTCCTTGAACCCCCAGCCCCCCTTTGACATCCTTAAACCCTGAACCCTTTATCAAAACCTGTGAACCCAAAACCACATAAGATAATTACCGGGGCCATCTGAAAATTCTCGGTAAAAAGGCTGCTCAAAGCCTCCTGTTGTGTTTCAGGTTCCGTGTTTTGTGAGGTCATGAGAATTTGGAACTCCGGGATTCTGCTTCAGGTTCCTGTGACCTGACCCGAACCTTACGCTTCTAAATCCGACACCCAAGAGACCGAATCCTGAACCATGAGTCCTAGAGACTCCAATATCCCTTAATTAAGGAGTATTCCTTAAACTATGGTAGGATCTCTAGTATGATTTAAGGAATATTCCCTAATTTTAAAGGTTTTGGAGTGTCTGGAGTCCTAAATCCTGAGCGACCCACAACCTCCCTAGACCCTATTTTAAGGGCCTTAGTTTTGAGATCCTGTATATTGCAATCATAATTTAATAAGGAACCCCCGAAATAGTAGAGCTACTTATTTAGGCCCTTATATTAAACCCCTAAACTTAGGCCCTAAACCCCTAGACCCTGAAGCCAAACGCGCGCCCGGGCGGCCCCTTGTGGTCGATGCGCTGCTTCTGGATGTTCTTGGTGATATTCATCCGGTCACTTCCAAACCTTCTCTAGTGATCGTGGCGATGATGATCATGACGATAGTGATGATGATGGCGATGATGGCGATGATTCCGTGATGACAGCGATGACGACGATTATGACGGAGTCCAGGGAAACATGATTATGATCACTAGGACATGCCCTGTCAGTATGCGTTTGCTGATGTATGGCATATCCATACTGGTTCTGAACATGCCAGTGAACATGCTGGTGCTCAACATGCAAACAAAATATGCTGGTTCTCAACATACCAATCAACATGCTGGTTCTCGACATGCCAAGAAACATGCTGGTTCTCGACATGCCAATGAACATGCTGGTTCTCAACATGCCTATAACACACACTGGCTCTCACCATGCCAAGCAACATGCTCGTTCTCAACATGCCAAAAAACATGCCAATAAACATGCTGGTGCTCAACATGCCAGTAAGTAAACATGCTGGTTCCCAACATGCCTATATGGTTCTCAACATGCCAAGCAACATGCTGGCCCTCAGCATGCCAATAAGCATGCAGGTTCTCAACATCCCAGCAAACATGCTGGTTCTCAACATGCCAATCAACATGCTGGTACTCAACATGCCAATGAACATGCTGGTTCTCAACATGCCAATCAACCTGCTGATGCTCAACATGAACATGCAGGTTCTCAACATGCCCAAAACCATGCTGGTTCTCAACATGTCAAGTTCTCATCATGCCAATACACATGCAAAAAGCCCTGGTGCGCAACCAAACGCACAGGTCTCAAACAGTCTCTCGGTATCGGTCTATTGAAATGTACTTGTAATCAAAACGGATCGAAGTAAGTATTCTGCTTCGAAGTCGTACGGTAACCCTCGCCCTAAACTTTCAACTGCTGCAACCTCGTCCCCAAGCCCTTCCTTGCCTCCCGCGCCAGGTCTTCTCCGGGGGATGGTAGGGTTTGGGGATCCGGATTATGTTAGAAGGGGCCCCCCCCCTGTAACAGTGGTATAATCGGAATATAATAGGGCCCGGCTTATGTAAGAACTAAGCTCTGGGTTGAACATAGGGGCCTTAGTAATCAGAAAATGGTGTATATTCTACTATAGCTATTAAAAAAGCTCCGAAAATAGCATGAGTAATTATTTAAGCCCCTATACTAAATCCTTATACTAGCCTTTGTAGACCCCTTTAAAGGAACCCCAAACACAAGTATTAGTAATCAGCAAGGCCACCAAAAAAACCAAACCCATAAAGTTCAGGGATGAGCCCCGCGCGCATCCCACACTCCCACGGTCACGTGGTCACAGGCCATGTCAAGCCTCTGTTTCGGGTTTAGGGTTTAGGGTGGGCATAGAGCTTAGGGCTTCGAGTTGTCTTGCTGTTCGGTTTAAGGCTTAGGGTTTGGGGTTTGGAGTGGGCATAGAGAGCATAGAGCTTAGGGCTTCGAGTTGTTCTGTTGCTCGGTTTAGGATTTAGGGTTTGGGGCTTGGGGTGGGCATAGAGGGCATAGAGCTTAGGGCTTCGAGTTGTTTCGTTGTTCGGTTTATGGTTTAGGGTTTGGGGTGGGCATGGAGCTTGAGCTTAGGGAATAGAGTTGTTTTGTTGTTTAAGCCTGCCCCGAGTGTCCGAGACTAGCGAAAAGCCTTTGTGGCTAGACAAAAGCCAGAGATTTGAGTTTCTGGCTTAGGGTTTAGGGTGTGCAGTAAACCCCAAAAAGTTGGAAACCCGGTTAATAGGCCAAATAGTGCTGGGGTTCCTTATACATGACTCTTAAGGATTGAGGCTATTGGGGTTTCCAACTTTTGGGCTTCTACTGTGGAAGGGTTTAAGGTTTTAATCTTTTCCTGGGTTGGCCTTTAAACACCCTGAAAAATATTTATATATGGTCACGCGCTCCGCAGCCCCCCCCCCCTCCCCCCTCCTCCCCCCCCAAATGTCAATGGTCCGGATATAGGGTGGGGCCCCCCCCTCCCCTGTGGTGTGGGGTGTGGGGTTCCTCTTCCCCCTCTGGGGTGGTTGTGGGGTTTTGGGGTTTAGGGTTTAGCTTAAGCTTTTGAGTTTTGGGTTTACGGCTACAAGGTATAAGGCTTCGAGTCGACAAGGGCTTAGGGAGGATTTGCGGTGTATTTTCTGCTTTAGGCTTAGAGCCTGCAGTTAGGTGGGGTTTAGGGTTGGGTGTAGCGTTTTAAGTACAAGTTAAGGTTGCTCAAAACAGGGGCACGCGCTGCGTCATAGGGTTTACGGCTTGCTTGCGAAGGGCTTGCGCGTGAGCCCTGGCCGCCAGCACCACCCCACCATCCAGTGGCAGCTCCAACGGCCCCCAACCCCTTTCCGCACACGCCAGGCCCCCCCCCCCCCCACCCCTGTCAGACCATACCATTGGGGGGGGGGGGGGGGCTGGGAACGCCAGACGCCTGACCATATATCGGGTCCCTTATAAACCAAAATAAAGAAAATAACAAATGTCCCAAATCCAACCTAGTTTAGGCTGGTGGGTTGCAGACGGCGTTGCAAACAGAGGCTTCCGAGTCCCGAATACCAAAGGGGAAAAGGAGGGACCCTTGATGGGGACCCCTAGCCTATAATGGGCTAAATAATGGGTATATAATGGCTATATTATGGGTATATACCTAGCAGTCCATGTTAGGGGTCCCTCCTTTTACCCTTTGAGTATACCAGGCTTGCAGGGCTTTGCGACGTAGGGTCGAAGGCCTCTTAGTGGCTGAGTTCCTAAGCCCCAAAAGTTTACACTTTCAGTTTTATAGTGGGTAATTAATACTATTATTACTATCCCAAAATGTGTAAAGTGTATCCACTCAGCTACTAAGCTTAATCCCTCAACTCTTTAGGGCAGATTGCGGCCTTGGTGCAGTGGATTCTGGGAGCTAGGCGCCACTGCTACACTGTAACGCTTCGGACCTTATTTTCGTATCTTTGAGGCCCTAGAAATCCAAGCCGACACCCTGTGACCCAAAAGCTCCCAAACCAACAGCGGAGGGGAGGATCAATATGGTCTTAGGGTTTAGGGTTTAGGGTCTACTGAAGCCTGCCCCTCCAGGCTACTGGGTTCTTGTTACGGAGCCTATTTTAAGTTCCCATAAATAAGGGTCTATAAAAGGTTTCCCTGTCATGGCCTAACAAGAGCCCACCATAAGGGTTTTGGCCCTCAACCCTAAATGCACTAAACCCTAAACCCCAAACCCTAAACCCCTAAACCCTAAACCCTATAAACCCTAAACCCCAAACCCTAAACCCCTAAACCCTAAACCCCTATAAACCCTAAACCCCAAACCCTAAAACCCTAAACCCTAAACCCCTATAAACCCTAAACCCCAAAACCTAAACCCCTAGGCCCTAAACCCTATAAACCCTAAACCCCAAACCCTAAACCCCTAAACCCTAAACCCTATAAACCCTAAACCCCAAACCCTAAACCCCTAAACCCTAAACCCTATAAACCCTAAACCCCAAACCCTAAACCCCAAACCCTAAACCCCTAAACCCCAAACCCCTAAACCCCTGAGCCCTAAACCCTTAAACCCCTCAACCCCTAAGCCCTAAACCCCTAAGCCCTGAAGGAGGCTTTAGGGGCCCCTCAAACCCTAGGTTCGAAGTAAACTTGAACACCAGCTTTCCTAAACCGGGGATCTCACAAACATTGAGGCATCAGGATCTACCCCCTAAACCTGCTAATATAGGGTTGTAATAATCAGAATGGGGTTTGGGCTCATTATACTATGACTCAAATAAGCAACCCCCAAAATAGCGGTAGGTACGTCTCTAGGCCCCTATTGTAAACCCCAAACCCTAAGCGCTGAAGCCTAAACCCTCTAGCATTGTCGTAGCAAGAGGCATGGTCACATCGAAGTTGATAGTGAGCATTGAGTCCTCACGTAGTTGCTGAGTTCATCAGCCCCCAAAAGTATACACTTTCAGTTTTATAGTGGGTAATATTATCCCCAAAAAGTTTAAAGTGTATCCACGCAGCTACTAAGCTCATGAGCTGGGTGGCTCGGATCGAATCAAGGTGCCTTTCGGGCTTGAGGGACTCAGCGCTTCGTGGAAACTGCCCAGAGACTCCAATATCCCTTAATTAAGGAATATTCCTTAATTCATGGTAGGATCCCTTATATGATTTAATGTATATTCCTTAATTAAGGGATATTGGAGTCTCTGGATGGGGGTCAGTTTAGGATCCCTTTGTAAATAAGAAACTGACTCTTCTAGGTTTTATGTTGGGGTCCCTGATATTCTGAAGAAACTGACTCTTCTAGATTCTATGTTTGGGGTCCCTGACATTCTGAAACTTCCACCTAGGAGCTGTCATTGTGGGGTTATGGGGCTGAGACTTCTGGGTTAACTCATCCGACGAGTCAATGACTTACACATCCACGGTCACCAGGGGGTGAAGGAATTGGCTTAAGGGTTGTTCTGGTTGGCGTCTGAGACACCCGAGGTATTGCTCTCAAATATAGGATAATATTAGAATATGGTGGTCTGTACAAGTAAACCCTCCCATACTACATACATATGTGTGAGTGTGTGCTATCTGTGTGTATATATATATATATACAGCTAGGTACATACATGCATATATATATATGCATATGTAATTCATACATCCTAAAAAGCAACAGCCGCGACTCGAATGCGGAAGCGGATGACAAGTAGGGTTTGGGTTTAAGGGTTTAGGCCTCACGGCTGAAGTTGTACGGGTTAAGGGTTCAGGGCTAAAGGGCTTTGGGGTGTTCGTTGCTAGTAGGGTCGGGCTACCCTAGACCGCAAACCCTACTTGGAGGTTCATGGGTAGTTATAAGTAGGGTTCTAAGTCCCCTAATATGGGTTTTAAGTATTTTTACCCTACTCATAACCCTACGTAAGACTACCCATGAACCTCCAAGTATACCCTAGACCCCCCATCTACCCTCTATTAGACCCTAAATGCCCATTATTTGGGGCCATATACCCCTACTTGAGGGTACAAGGAGGGTCCTGGACCTTAAACCCTAAACCCTATGCCCTTATAGTATCCCTATAGATCCCTTTAAAGGGACCCTTATTAGTACCTTAAACTTAAACCCTATACCCTTATAGTATCCCTATAGATCCCTTTAAAGGAACCCTTACTAGTATACCTTAGAAGCTGCCCCCCACCCTGTAATAGTGACCATAAGGGTTATATTAATATTTAGATTAGGGCCCTATTATATGCCTATTATGCCACTATTACAGGGTGGGGGCAGCTTCTAAAGTATACCTTAGATCCCTTTAAAGGGACCCTTAAAGGACCTTAAAGGAGCCCCACAAGGTCCTGGTTGCTGTCCAGCGATACGTCCGTCCGGCGCTCGGCCCGAAGGAACGCGTTGGTCTCGCAAATGAATAAAACCGCCTTGGTCATGCGAGTTTAGGGTTTAGGGTTTAGGGATTTAGGGTTTAGGGTTTAAGGGTTTAGGGGTTAAGGGTTTAGGGTTTTAGGGTTTTAGGGTTTAGGGTTTAGGGTTTAGGGTGACTGTTTTCTTGCGGAGGGGCGGTGGTTAGGGTTTTCAGGTTTATTTGGGCTATGCTAAAGTATCGGGGGCTTCGCAATCAGAATACATAGGGTTTGAGCCAAAGGACTGTTGAATTATATCTGCATGCCAGCAAGTAGATGGGAGTTTCCGAAAATAGGGGACCCTAATAGTACCCTAAATAGTAGGATCCTTATTATAAGGACCCCAACATAAGGTGCCCCTAATTTTCGGAAACCCCCAGATTCTTCACGGGAGCTTTATTGCAAAGGAGCTCCAGCTGCTCATCACACATCCCAAAACCCAAAGCACCACAGAAGGCGAAGACGAAGAGAGTTTAGGGGCCTACCCAGAGGCTCCATAGTAGTTCCTGTTTGGGATTACCTTTTGGGGTTCTATATATGAAGCCCGAAAAGGAACCTGGGTACGGGCTAAGGGGATCAAGCACCTGGCCGGCATCAACCTTCCATCCCAAAGCCCGTTCCCTAAACCCTGAAAGGTAGGAAAAGTAATGGCCCAATACCTGAGAAAGGCCATTATTCTACATACTTTTGGGGTCCAGGTATAGACTACTCCCCCGAACCGCCAATGCATTAGGTCCAAAGGCCCTTTGCCTGAACGTTTGATGCGCAGCCTTGAACCCCAAACCCTGCCCTGAAAGCCCTAAAACCTAAGCCGTGAGCCCGAACCCCGGGGCTCCAAGATGCTCCAAGTATACAAATAGTACCTACTTTTTTTTTTTGAACTCCTTTTTGCGTCTGTACTATTTGGGGTCTAAAGTCTATAAATAATACCTACTTTGGGATATTTGGAAAGATCAGACCCAGACGACCGCCGGGGTCCGAGCGCAGGTAACGACGGCCACCAGCGTCATCACCGCCCCGGTGGCGCTCGCCTACATGGGCGCCATAATGACTAAATAAGGGTTTAGGGCAGTTTAGGGCAGTTTAGGGTCTAGAGATAAGGGTATCCTTTTTCCTACCGTTCGGCTTTAATGAGGGGACCCTAAAACACAACATACAAAAGGGTACTACTCAGGAACCTACATAAGGGTTACTATGCCAGTGAGTATGAGGGGAGGGCTCTGGGATGGAGGGTTCAGTTTTGGGTTTAGGGTTTAGGGTTTAGGGAGGATTTAGGGAGCAAGGTTGGGCTGCAGGGTTTTCTGGGGATTTATACTAGCGAGTGGGGTTGGATTTTTTTTTTTTTTTGGGGGGGGGGCTGTTTGACCTTGAAGGTTTAGGTGTAGGAGTTAACAGTTAAAGGCTTATAGGCACTTGTAGCGCTAAGATGTACAATCTTTTGGTGCAGAGACTGAATCATCACGACGTTCTCATGGACGGCCATCAAGCATGGCCATCTGCTTGGCTTGTTGAGTTCCTTCGCTTAGACAGGCGGACGCTCAAACCCTGAAGCCACAGCAAACAAACCCTCAAAAACCTCACAAGGCAAAGTAACGCCCGAAAACATCTCGGCCTAAACCTAGACCCCTGATCAAGGAACACGAATTCCCGTAATCGGGGTTACAAAGGAGGACGTCAACACGTTGCCACTGATGGAAGAAGGTCTATGAACCCTGGGGCCGATAATGAATACGAACGCCCCGAACTCCCTAGATGACTGCACAGCGACACGTGCAACATTTCCCGCAAGCGGGGATTGTGGCACACCCCAAACGATGGCCGATACTTAGACACTAAGACAGATCCAATCTAGGAGTCTGAATAACTAACAGCTAACAGTTCATGGCAATAACATTCAGCATTGGCATAAGAATACTAAAACTACAAATTCCACCAACAGTAATAATAATGCGATTTGCACTAATAATGTTAATAACCCTAACAAACAAAAAGGGCCAAAAAAGGTAACACTACAAACCGTCGTAGTAAGAATAATGATGACAATGGTATGCATGATCGAATCTAGCCCAAGTCAGTGTTCGACTTTCCAAACCCGAATGACCCCTGCAGTAGCCCTTGAAAACCCTATTATTCCACCCTATTATACCCCACCAAAAGCGCTATTGAATTGGGGATCCTGGATTTACTGAACTACCTATCCTAATTTGGGGGTTCCTTCTTATGATTATAGTATAGTGGGCCCCAAAACCCTACAGGGAACTCCAGGAAGTTGGAATATGAATTGATGGTAGGATCCCCTATAATTAATTTACCTTATAGGGGTTACGATAATGATATTCCAACTTTCTGGCTTCTACTGTACTCTGATTATCTAGAAATCCCAGGGATCCGATAGCCTCCGCAAGGTCCTTGGGCACTGTGCGGAAGGCATCGATGCCAGCAGCCCACCTGCTTCGTGGCAATTCAGTTGGGTGGTCCGAAAGATGATGAAGATGACGATGATGATGACGATGATGACGACGAGGATGATGATTGTGATGGAGATGTACATGAAGAAAAGGAAGACAACGATGGTCAATGAGGTGAAGATGAAGACGAATATGGTGTTTGCGATCATGCTGCTGCTGTTGATGAAGATGAGCTTGGCACTGAAGATACAAATGGCCACGATGATGGCGGTCATGATCGTGGCGGTGGTGCTGTCAGGGCTGGAAACTCCGAGGGTACTCGCAATTAGGTTGTGATGATGACGGTGATGATGATAACGATAGCGACGAAAAAAACAAAAACAAACAAATTGATCAATAAGCCCTTCCAAGACAAAGAGCAGGCAACCCGTGAGGCTTGCAGAGGCTCGTTGATGCTACTCCTCCTAGCGCGTCCCCGCCATGCAACCTACGATAAGCAGTGCGACTTCAGTTCCGTCCTCAAACCAGAAGCTTTAGAAATTGATATCTTGCATCGTAAAACCGGCAGCCCAAAATCCTATAACCCTAAATCCTAAACTAGAACTGCCAGACTCCAAAGCGATACATCCTCAATGCGGAAGCCCAGCAACTTACATCTCATGGTTTCGAGTCGAGGGATTAGGGCTAGTAAGGCCGACTTGCTGAAGTAAACTCCCCTACCCCTCCCCCCTTCCCCCTTAAGGAGCCCTTAACGGAATCCTTGAAGGAACGCCATAAAGGGAGCCCTTAAAAGGAACCCTTAAGGATCCCTACTTAAAGGATCATGGGACTTAGTAACTAGACTAGGGTTATAAGGAAGGTAATCATACTTATAACCACTTATAAGCCCACTTAAGGTACTTATAACCTGACTTACTAAGTCCCATGATTCTCCAAGTAGACCCTATAAACCCTAAACCCCTAAACCCCTAAACCCCTAAAACCCTAAAACCCTAAACCGCTAAACCCCTAAGCCCCTAAACCCCAAAAAGGATCCAAGTTGGATTCATCCTAAACCCCAGAGATCCTAAAGACCCGACGACCGCCGCCTGGGCGGCCCCATCGCCAACCTCGGAAGGACGGAGACTTCGGAATATCGGGTTCAGGGCTTTAGGGCTCCTTTAAAGGATTCTTGAAGGGGTCCTTTAAAGGGTAGGGATGCATGGTTTAGGGGTTTAGGGTTCGAGGGTTTAGGGCTCCTTTCAAGGATTCTTGAAGGGCTCCTTGAAAGGGTACTATAAGGGTCCCTTTGAAAAAGGGCCCTACAGTGGTTCAGGGGTTTGGAGGTTTAGAGGTTTAGGCATTTAGGGGTTTGAGGGTTTAGGGTTGAATCTGTGATTACCATCATTGTCAGTACTAGTGTTATCATTATCGTAGGTGTTCTTACTACTATAGCATTACTATCGCTATGTCCATCATTGCTGCTACTATTGCTGTGCTTAAGTAAGATCTAGTACTAGTGGCACTATAAGTAAAAAAACATTATTGTTATTATTATTGTTGTTGTTACTATGAGTATTCTTGCATGTTACTATTATGGCAATTCTTGCTATTGTTGTAAGCCTGTCTCAGATCGAGAAGGCTCTTTGTGTTGCGGTGCACCCAAGACGCTCCTCGAAGAAGAGAGAAATGGGACGACATGGAAGGATTAGGTTTTGAATAGGGTCTAGGGCTTATAGGGTTATAGGGTCTAGGGTTCGGGCTTAGGGTTTGGGGTTCAGCGTTGCAGCAGCGGCAGCAGCAGCAACAACAACAACAGCACCAGCAGCACCAGCAGCACCAGCAGCAGCAACAGCAGCAACAGCAGTAACAGCAACAGCAAGAGCAACAACAGCAGCAGCAAGACTAAAACTTGCAGTCAGCAGTATAGTGACGGGATATGACAGGATTGAGCAGTAGGAGGAAACGGCCACTACAAGCAAGATGTATCTATAGCTGCTATCCCTAAACCAAAACCATGAACCATAGAATGTAGGGAGATGACGCTTGAGGCCACGGCTGCGCGTGGCCCTGCTTTTGGGCTTTGAGCAGGAGCTACGGCGCAGCTTCGTTCAAAACTGCCGGCGCGCCCGGCGGAAGGAGACTCAGGATCTAAGCGCTACTTCAGTTCGGGCTCTGATGTGTGAGCAATACTGTTATTACGCCTGACTTTCTGAGCTTTTTGAAGCAACAAGGGCTCCAAAACACGTGTTTGCCGCGCAGCCTCACCTCTTGTTGCTGCTTCGCCTAGATAGTTCTCCCGTTCTTCCCATGTCCAAGCACTAAAGCCCTAGTGCTGCAGACCTAAAGCAGCATTCAATGAGCCTTAAGCTTTGCACTTGAATTCCTAATCCCTACACAGCCTCCACCATGCTCCCCAACTCTTACGTGGCGTTTCTCATGGTCTCATGCTTGATAGCTGAACGCTGCAGGTCAGACACAGAAGTTCGACTTAGTAACAGGGCGTAGTGCCTGCGTGTAGAGGGTTTACAAACGATTTTAGTGATTGGGGACGGAGTTTACCTGCAGCCGAATAATACCTGCCCTCGTCGGGTTGCTCATTGTGCGGTTGATGCTAGAAATCCTGCATTACCCATAATGAGGAAGAAACCATAGTTCCCATCGTTTAGGGTCCTTAAGGTAATGCAGGATTTATATTATCAACAGTTGTTCCAATGTGTAGTAAGCTTTTGGCCCACAGGTCGGGCCGATGGAGTGGCGGTGGAGGCTTTGAGGCTTTAGGGATAGGGGTGTAGAGCTCAAAGAGCTTGTGATGAAGGCTTGGGGCCCAAGCACGAAGGACTTCAGGGTCCTGCTACTCCTTCATCATATACCGGCCTGCTGTTGCAAGGAGGACTACCCCTCGAAATGTTTAGGTCGGGCGGTTTAGGGAAGTTGCTGGTGGAAGTTGAAACGCTTCAGATGCGGATGCGGATGGCTGCTCAGAGCAAGGTTCCGTAGCAGTGTAATTAGGCTTTACCCAAAGGCCCCAAAGTAGTTCCCTTTTTGGGGGTCATATATAGAATCCTATAAGGTAACCCCCAAAAGGAACTACTTTGGGGCCTATGGGTATTACCTTAACCTACCAGAACCTACTTATTTGTAGGGTCCCTATGAATCCCACATTATTGGGGTTGATAATCAGAACCTATGCAAAGGTAGCGTTTGGTAGGTATGGATAGCTGTAAGGGTGTAGGGTGACTCCTTCCAGTCAGGCCCAGGTGTAGCACTCGAGGTCCAGATGGGATTGCTCGAAAGATTGCCTCCGTGCCCGAGTCTCTAATAATCTGTATTGTAATAAAGCATCCATCTTACACGCAAGCCTGATGGAGAACGAATCCAACAATGCCTCGACAGCAACTGCCGCTAAACCCGTAGCCTTCAACTATCCAATCTAAGGCTTCAAATCTAACGGATGAAGGGTTTGGGGCTCAAGGCTTTAGGCATGTCTTCCTTTGACCTTGGACTGAAAGGACAAGACGCTTACAGAATCCAATCTCTAAGCTCGTGCACAATGCAATATTTGTGATTCAGTACTTACTTGAGTGGTTGTCAGAGTCAGGACCCCTTTTTGGGTCCTGATTATACTACGGCAGCTAATATTTAGGGTGCCCAAAAAGGGAGGACACAGTTTTGACAACCACCCACTTGGGAGACCATGAGACCCTTGTACAAACCCATATGGCCTGGGACAGCTTCTCGGCCAGGAGACGCTCTTGGCGGATGGCGTCCTGGCAGCCCGCACTTCCCCTGGGGCTCCAAATAGCCCAAAGTAGGTATTATTTATAGACTTTAGGCCTAAAGTAGGTACTATTTGTATACTTGGAGCCCCAAGGGTTCTGGGGATTAGGGCTTAGGGTTTTTGCAGGTTTTAGGTGCTTTGAAAAACTTGCGCGCGAATTCCCAGGTCTGAGTTTAACTCCAGCTGCGGCTCAAGCGATGATTCGGACGATCATGTGTTATTTGCGTTGCTGCTCTTGAAAATGTGGCATGCCCACAAGCCTAAGGCTCAAAGCGCTAAGCAGTAGGTCCTTGATATGCCCCGCCGGACAACAAATTGGCCGCCCGCGCCCAAAGTGGTTTTGCCATGGTTATTTCACCGCTCATTGCACCTCAAGCATCTAAACACCGACACTTTCGCCAGGTGGTACTTTCAAGGACTAAACCCCCCCCAGCTGCCGTAAGACCTGAAACCATCAAGCCCGAATGCCTTCAACTCCGAACGCGAGCGCTCCAACTCTAAAGCCCTCAAGCCTCAAGCCCTCATAGAACCCTCATCGAACAAGAAACCCTGTAGATAGATAACCTCAAAAAGAACCCCTCAAGACCTCACCACTGAAGCCCGTGAGCCCCTTAGAGAACCCTTTTTGGGACCTTTCCTTCAAGGAAAACCCTGCAGACCGCGAGCAGCCTCCAGGGTTTGCACTCGCCGCTCGAGGTCCAAGCCAATCTGCTCCTGACACATTCCCAGAGACTGCGAAATCCCTGAATTGAGGAATACCTGAACCTCCTTTAAGGGATCTTACAAGGCATCTATAGGGTTTAGGGTAAGGTTGAAAGCATGGGCCCTTAGTATGGCCCCTAACCCTTGGATCCATAAAAACCTACTATATTCCTACTATATACCCAAATTACCTAATATATGTACCTTATGAGAAATTCCCCAAGGTCCCTTAGGGTTTCTTCGACAGCTGCTTGGAGTTCAGGATCAAGGTTTTGGGGTTTCTCACTCGCTTCGTCAGAGGAGGAAGAGCTCTCAGTGAAGTCTTCCCCGCCCCGCCCGCGGCCGGAGCCTACGAGGAAGGACAGAACTCTGCCGACAATTCCTCTCCATCCTTCTCATGAAGGGGCGGTAATGCTTAGAATAGGGTTGTGGGCCCATTTATAATCAAAACAGAGGAACCATGAGAAATAATCTTGGCAATTATTTAAGCCCCCATAGTACCTTTCCCCTTGGATGCACTGCATGCCGAAAGTGCGTCCGAACTTGGGGGCTCATGGGTAGTTATAAGTAGGGTTATTCGTCCCCTAATATGGGTTATATGTATATACTTATAACCTACGTATAACTACCCATGATCCTGCAAGAAGAGCTTGCCGTCGCTTCGCGTGCTCCGCGGCCCTCATGCGGACGACACGGCGGCGTAGCTCGGATGCGTCTTGGATGGTGGACATCCACAAAGGTCACCTCGAGCACAGCATAGCTCCTGTCCGATGAACACAGAAGATACTTTGCTGCACCCTGGTTGAGGCAGAAACACTGAACCGCGCACGGACTCGCTGACTGACTCCCCACCAATACCAATTCACCACATCCCACTGCAATCCCCTCCCACGCCTCTCCCTCCTTAAAGGGATTAGGCTGAAATGGCGAGCGAGCTTTTGATTTTGATTTTCTGGTCTGCGTGGATAGATTTCGAAGGCTTGGGATCCTCCCCAGACCCCAGGCATATCAGGATTCGAGCCAATAATTGTGGTTCGGGTTTGAGGAATGCTTACGTTACGCGGGTAGATGAGGGCTCGGGACGGCTTCCACATCGATTGGAAAGTGGCGTTCGTGCGCATGCCTGGATTCTAGGGGTTTTGGGGATGCCTTATCACGTAGCTGCTTACTTACGCGCCCGGATTTCGAGTTTGGGGGCAGGGTCTGAATCCCAACGGGTTGGTCTACTGTCTGGTTGCATTGTTGAATTCCGGGCTGTCGTGATGCTTCGAGAAGATTTTATCAGCTGTGGATTTGCTACTACCACTTCCACCAAGCATGCCGCAGCACTAACACTAGCCCCCACCCCCACCACATCCCCCGACGCCGACCACTCCACCCGCAATCGACCTGTTCATTGGAGTTTAGATGCGATGACTCGGGTCCAGCACGGCAGTGCGAATCGCATGTCTCGCAAAGCTCAGTGGCAACCGGAACTAGTCAAATTCTGATGATATCACGAAAAGAACCCCCAAGAGAATCCGACGGAATCCTAGGCAACCCATCTGCAGTTCAAGGGAACTCCGAGGGATGCGAATGAAACACGAAGAAAAGCCAACGAATCCAAGACGACTCCCAGAGAACCCTAAACCTACTGGTAC